ACTATCATACCATCATCATCTGAATCTGGTAAAAATTTTCATTCTTCTTTCTTTACTAGACTGACGGATTTGTTTATCTCATCGTACTCACAAATGTATATCAAATGAATGCTAGATGCTGATAACACTGAGAACATAGTCTTCATATTGTTGTTGTTGCTGTTTTTATTATTGGTTGTCTTTTCAGTGTGCATACATTACTCAGCTGTCTCCTGAAATACCTATAAACATACCTCAAAAATGTCATTAGCTGTAAGCATCTGTTTTTCTCCCTAAATTAAAATGCCCAGTTCAGATGTAATGCAGCTCTGAGAAGGTGTGAAAGTTCTCATGGAGAGCAGTAACCTCCACCTCCAAGTGCGCTTCATTTGACCATCGCGCGTTTTTAGGGTAGGCGACTGTAAAAAAAAAAAAAAAAAAAAAAAAAATCCTCCTTTGCATTTTATTTGCTAAGGCGAGGGCCCCTGTACTCCATCTAATAGTCATTAGCTTTCATTACAAGCGTTTGAAGTAGAAGCTGTCTTTTGTCTCGTCGTGAAAGGGCCGCATTTGAGATGCACAATGACTTCTGACAAGGGCACTAGCAAGAGCGTCTGCTGTGATCCCAGGAAATAGCAGTTCTTGTTCACATCGTGTTCAGCGACAGAAAACACCATGAAGAAAGTATCTCACCAGGAACCCGCTGCTTCCCAAATAAAGCATAATTTATCCAACTTGCGTCTTTTATGCACACCACCACAGATAATTAAAATTAAATAATCTTTAACATTTTGGATCATATTCCAGGATTAAGTTGGTCTAAGACACTCAGCAGTAGATATACTTAATCCTATTTTTCAGTGATTATCTCCTAATAAATCACTACATAACGTTCCATAGCTAAAATGTTCCCATACCCACTCATAGGGGAAACTGGCTTTAGTGGTTTTAAAATATGTATTATACACTTTTTATATGGTATCAGGTTTGCATGGTTGTCATAAAGTGGTTTTAAATGGACTTTTAGTTTGAAAAGCATTGCAGGTAAAGCTAACAAGACAGAACACGTCTTTTTTTTTTTTCTCCAGGTCGTGTTAAAAGTGGGATGTTTGTTTATGCTGAGAAGGGGAGCCGGTGGAGGTGCGGAGTCCAGTACAGGTGGCTAAACGACCGCACTTCTCAACAAGGTGGCACAAACGCAGCAACGTGCTACTTTCCCCGTCTTGTTATAATGGGGTGACATTTTCCAAGTATTTAGGTGGAATAGATTAGCTGAACACACAACGCTAATGTGAAGCAAAATGGCCAATTAGTTTATTAATGAAGGCAGTAGGTGAGAGGGGAAACCCTGAGCTTCAGCTGGCCTCTTTGAGTCTGGTTTAATGTGGTGGTTTTAATCAACATCATGGAGAAAGATCTGAAGAAATGAAGATCAGAATTGAATCTATTGTATCAGCATGTAAACTAATATCTTCTTTCTGACTTTTAAATTTCAGATTGACATGATGATGAGGTTGACCAGAGGTTCCCAGTTGATCCTCTGCTGTTCAAGGAAGAGAGTTTGTCCTCTGAAATAGCAAACTTAGTTACTGTGTTGGTAATTAACTGCCCTTTAAATGCGAAAGCTTCAGATTGTTGTATCATACCCCATTTCATGTGACTGCACATTTCTGTAACGTAACAGAAATGTGGCTGTTTGTGTTTAGTGTTGTATAAGTTTAAGGCTGCATTGGGTTCACATGGGTCCAGTCTTTTTATTTTATACATGTAAGACAAATAACATTAATAACCTCGATGTTTTGTACTTTTCCACTGAAACAACTGGGAGTGGGTCCTCTTGGACTGGGAACTAAACTGAAACCTACTGCGTTCAAAGCCTCCAAATGACATCGTATAAACCTGCTTTGCCTGAGTTCAACCACTGGGTGGCAGCATTGGTCTTTCATGAACAACATGATAGGGGTTCAGTGGACTGTTGAGCTATTTCCCTTGGTCCATGTAATGACTTATTGCATCATAAAAACAGAAAGATGATAGAGCAAAATATATGTAACTTTTCTACAACATCTTTTTCTGATTGCAAGTTTTCCCCCCATACTTCAAGCTGCAGGCCTCGAACATTGGAAATGTTGAGTTAAGCATTCTTGCATTGTCACTCTTTAAGCTCACTGGTGACATTTGTGTGAAGTACTGAAGGATTATCACATGTTTTCTACACCATGAACTGAGACACATTTCTAAACACCAGTATTATAAATAGAACTTAATACAGCATTTCATGATGGAGCAATAGTGTAAAGATCACAAAGTAACACTCAGTCTATCACTATATATTTGGTATATACTGTTTAATATTATTTAGATTTAGGAGATAGGTGAAATGGTCAAAGCGCAAACATACCATAATTACACTTTTTATCATTTTTATCATTAAGGCCTGCATATGCAAGAATCATATTAATCATCAGTGAATGGCATCTTGTTTAGACAGAGGCCACCAGAGAGCAGCACTTATATTAAATTGAGCCAACTGTCCTCAGAGATGTCTCTCCCTTTTTGTCCCTCTTTTCTTTTGGCCCCAGAAAATAACATTGTGGATATTTGAAACTGATGATAAACTAGTAGAATATCTTTAAATAGTATTGTGATACAGCTGAGTGACTGAAAAATTTTTGACATTTTTTTTGGACAAATTGTTAAAAGACACAATCAGCAGAAATCTCATATTTTATTATCACTTGGACAACAAACTGATGTGTTTTAACTATCATACTGTTTTATTTGTTTTCATATATGTACCCAGGACTCCCGGGTTACATGTAAGCCAGTATCGATACTGCGTGGATTATCCTGGTGATATGAAGTGAATTTAATTACATTATTATAATTTATAGCTACATTTCTTTTGTACAGTGTACAAAGACACACTACAAACTACAAAATGTAACATGTCACTAATTGCCAGGATTCAACTCAACTCATCTAAATGCCAGTGTTCTCAGTCATGGTTACATTAAGCTGTGCAAGGATACTTATTGGGTAAAAAAGAAGTGTGGCTGTCTCCCATAATCTTAATACTGTCTTTATTAGAAAACATGCAACTGTTTGAATAAATTAATAGAACAAGTTAATTAAAAGCTGTTTTTATTTGTCTAGAAATATAGTTGCAGTATGTTGCACTGTGGAACACCTTCAATAAAGAGGAATGTGTCTAATTAAATCCCCAACTCTCTTTTAGTTTACTTAATTGGCCAATGTGTAACATGCTAAAACTACCCCCCCCCCTCCTCATATGATTAATATATAATCTGAAGGCATTGTGATTCCCAGTGTGAACCACATAGGACAAGTGCAAACTCTCGTCACTGTAATGTTGCAACTCGTCACACGTGCACTTAAAGCCCCTTACATATCTCAGGAATATTAGACTACAATATAGGAATTTCACTATAAAGCTATAAAAAAAAAAAGACTAACGCTGCACAGTTTCTTAGTTGAAGATCAGTTTGGTCGGACTCTCAGTAACTTTCCCCCGGAGCCTTGGGGGAAGATCAACAGCAGGTACGGAACAACGGTAGACTGCTCTGCTTTGTTTTTGTTAATGCAGAGCGATGTGGCCATCTATTAACCAGCAGCGATCAGGGTCAGTGCGTAAAGGCCCACAGGGTTTCATCATTAAACTCAACAGCGTTTTCAACCGACTCGGTCAGCCCTGAAGTTCCTGCTGCCGCACTGTGTGTAAAAAGACGGATTAAATATCAAATCATGCAATAAAGAGTTACATGACTGAGTTCTGAAGCAGGTTTCCCACAAAGACCATAGGCCTATATCGTTATTAAGTACATGTGAGTTGTTTTTCATGATTTCCTATGATATCTTCAAACACTGTGATCTTGTCACATTCTCAGTCGCTCATATTGTCACTGCAAAATATGTAGCTATAACGTGACATTATGATAAAACGTTATTATTTTAAACAGAAAAGTTAGGAGATTAAATGAAAAGATCTGTAACCTGAGGCAAAATAACTCCAGTTATCAATTTTGGCAATCATAATCGACATAAACAGGCATATTTAATAACAGGACTGAAATGATTCACGTCATATTCAACAGTGGCTCCAGTGAGTCTTGCAACAGAGGAAATATATTTCCAAGGACACAGTAAATAAATGCAGATTGTAATCTGACCACACAATCCGTAGGCTACAATGATTAGTTAAAATTACACCGGGGAAGAAAAATAGGGGGCTTTTAGGACACCGACCCATTCACAGAACCTAGTGCCTTCTTTAGGAGCCTTTAGCTCTAAACACCTAATCAACAACTTGTTTTACCTCATAATTTCCATCGGTAATGATTTTCTAATGCAACCTCTACGCAAACGAGCGAATTAAGGGGATAATTATTAACTTGGTTAGTGCGCGATGGAAGCCGGGCGCCGAGGGACAGAGCAGCCGTCGAGCTCCACTGAGAATTACAGGCTGCCTCTTAACTGCCGTTTTCTCCTGCAGGACTTCATGCTGCTAAATTGTTCTCATAGAGGACAAGCTGAGCGCCATTTTCTGAAAAGTGAAAAGAGCTAGTTATTCTCGTAACAGAGGGGTGAGGTGCCTTATTTAGTCCAAGATGTTCTAGCTTGTTTAAACCATGAAACTCTAAAAGTAGGGTAATATCACCCACTATCAATATTTTTATTTAACTGATGCATTTGGAAAGCCTAAAGGGAAGTTTATTGTGTGTGTCCTTGATACACCTTATTGCAGAGGTAGCCTATAACTATCATATCATAATTTGAATGAATGCAGGCTATCAATTAGCCAAAATTAAATTAATTAATATTACTCAAATACAGTATTATTATTATTATTATTACACGACATTTTATTATTATATCAAAAATATATGTATTTATGTTACTTTATATAGGCTACATTTCATTTATTAGGCAGACTATAGTGAGAACACAGAACAACAGAAAAATCTGCTTTTCGTTACTGTCTTTATTTCTAAACACAGAGCGTTAAGTTCAACATAAAGCACCCATGCTAAGAAATTACATTATAAATTCAGCGTTGAAATATAAATAAATGCTAACAATTATGCTTTCTGGGAGGAGAAACTGTTTGTGGGTGAAAGAACATAACAATAATATTTCCGTTTATCTGAACGTAAATGTTATTCCACGGAAAGAAGGAATTGCTAAATATCGTTGCATGTTTTCCACCATCATCAGTGAATATTACAAATTGCTAATTATTATTTATTTACTAAAGTAAGTCAAGAACAACCGATCAGTCACGATTTCCCCCCATTATTATTATTATTATTACTACAACAGGATAATCAAACTATATTTTACAGTGTATTTCAACGTTTATTTTACATAGGTGTAGCTAAAGGCAATGTTCAGAACAAATGTGCTTTCAGAATACAGAAAAGAGAATGAATGAATCCTGGATGATTGAACCCGCAATGAAACAAGTTTTTCACCCCCACTGGTGGATTGTTTCCCTTCAGAAAAAACAGATATTAAGGATGAAAGGGACACACAATGACCCATTAATTGGAGTACACATGTTCTCTCAGTGTGCCTCTGTAACTAAGCTCCCCTGTGTCGTGTGATCCATGAAGCAGGTACTTGAGGAGACCTATTGGCAGGTGCTCTGGTCCAATCAGCTCTCTCTCTGCGCAGCGTCAAGCCACGTTGAAGGTTGGAGGCGCTCTACTTGGTGCGCACTTGTGCACAGAACCCCTCTGAGCGCGCACGGACTCCATGGATCAGGGTAATTTGCAGCACTGTTGACTTTTGTAGAAGCATCTCCACTGCACAAGCTTGTGTAGGCAAAACACCCCAAACAGCCCTCCACCTTTGGTCATGACGCATCTCTGAGAGGGAGGTTATCTTCTCCAGAAAGAGGAAGGAAAGAGACGGATCACTTTCTTTTGGTACTGGTTTCTATTTCTGTCAAGAGATGATGTTTTCGTCTGCAGGCAAGCGCTGCTTCACCATAGAGTCCCTAGTTGCCAAAGAGAGCCCTCTAACAGCTGAGGATCCCATCCGTCCGACGGCTTTAAGTTACTCCAACCCGACGACAGATGCCTTAATGAACAGTTACCCGGCTCCGGCGGCCAGATCCCTCTATCAGAGCCCGGACCTGATGTTCCCAGAGACGGTTAACCACCCCTCCCTCACCGTGGCTCCTCACCAGCTCGGAGCCTCCCACCTACAGCATCCGCACTTCTTCGGGCCGCAACACCGTGACCCGCTCAACTTCTACCCCTGGGTCCTACGGAACAGGTTTTTCGGACACAGATTTCAAGGTAAATGAAATGGCCGTGACGCCAAAATACGGCCATTAAAATCTGATGGAACTGATTTTTATTTCACTTAAAACATCGCTCCAACCTATTTTAATGCCTGCAGTTATGTGCCTGAATGATCAGCCTACAAATTAAACAGTAGTCTATTCTGGACATTTAGTGCATGGCTTTACTAAATGACAAAAAACGCATGGTTTGTATTTAATAGAGGCCATAAAATATTCAGTCTTTGCCTTTGAGAGTTTTCCACAGTTGAATAAGATGGGTGATACTTGCACACGACTTTTGAACACGATATGACTGCTAGTATTGAAAACATTTCTTAACTGAACAATACAGCCAAAGATAGCATAAACGACAAGGCCAGAGAGTTTTTCAGCAGGCTGTCGGGCTGCTCTCATATTTCCACTCTCATTCGCCCTGCAGCTACTCTCAGAAAGCCACAGCCAGAGGAAGATAAGCACTGTTTCCCCCCGATACAAGACAACACGCCCTAGGTTAGGCGAGTGTTTTTCCTTTCATTCTGAAAATATGGCACAAAAAACATGCTGTAGAGACAAAAATGATACAAATCCAGGATAGTAATTTCAGTATAATGAGATTAGAAAGCCAAATCAGAAGAAAATCCAGCTCAGGTATTAGCAGCAAAGGATTTAAACACAGCCTGCAGTGATTATTTACAAGACAAACCTCAGCGCAAGTGTGCACGGACTATGGCACTTTAATACTCTATGAGAGAAATTACACTTTTATTTTCATATAGCCGAGCTTTTGTTGCATTTCTTAACGCCTGGACAGATTAGACATATTTTACAATAAAGACAGAATTATGCAGATGCATAACACCCCCCATCATTTATTACAATACACTATTATTTTGATTTCTATGTAATAGAATATAGGCTAATTTAGTAGTACATATCCCAAACTTATATGCGAAACAAGAGGACAAACACGAAGAAAAAATTAGAATATAATAAAAATATTTTAAAAAACGTTTTTAAAAAAGTTTGTTATATTACAAAACAGGGAGATTTGTTTTGTTGTTTTTTTAACCACAAAATACAAATGTCATCTTTACAAAATATTTTCAGTTTTACACCTTCCTGACAAAATATTGGGACGTGTATCAGGGTGACATCTTATTAAGTTGTCAGTTAATTAACTACTAGCATATTCACTGTAAAAAATAAAAAAATAAAATAAAAAAAACTGCTTTCTCTTAATTGTTATATTTTCCCTTAAATTCGACTTGTGCATTATAACTGTTTATCCGAATCTATGTATATGGTATATTAAAGGCAATTGGTCATATAAGTACGTTATCTGTGCAATTCCTCCAAAACTAAAACAGTGTTGTGCACGGAGGTCATTGATGTTTGGTTATTATTCGGCCTGCTATATTTGATTAAAGTCTATTTAATTAGTTTTAAAGTAATCGGTCAGCTGACACCCACTAATACTATTTTAATTCAGGCTTGTGCACCGTTTTTGTTACAAAGAAACTATTTGCAAAGGTTCCCTGTCTCCATAGGAATATGTTGAAATGTGTTTAGGCCTTATGTGCGTTAAAGAACCATATGCCTATTAAAATACATTTTGCAGTGTGCCTACTACAAAAAGAAATAACTTTTGATAGAAACAGGCTGGTCGCTATTAAAACGGCGGGTAGGACTTTTGTTCAGGTAGGAATTTAACACAAAACTATTTAGACTAACATTTATCTACCAGTACTAAATAGCCTAATACATTTCTGGTAAATGGTCTTATTATGTTATTATTATTATATTAACTAGGACTAATAACATTAATAGACCTAATAGTATTAATAAAATGTTTATAAATTGTTTTGCTTGACTTTTGCTTCACATTGCCATGATAATGATAACCATCACCTGGTCACACTTTGCAGTGTTGTAGGCCCATTGACACTGTTTACACTGTTATTGATTAGGCAGCGTATAGTAATCCACAGGTTCAACACACCTGCTAATTATAACAAAAATACCTTTGCCAGCCCAAACTGACGGCCCTGTCGTTTCTTTAAATCCGGTGCCAGGTAACGATGTGTCCCAGGACAGCCTGCTCCTCCACGGTCCTTTTGCCAGGAAACCCAAACGCATCCGGACCGCTTTCTCGCCCTCCCAGCTCCTGCGTCTGGAAAGAGCCTTTGAGAAGAACCACTACGTCGTAGGAGCCGAGAGGAAACAGCTGGCAAACAGCTTGAGTTTATCTGAGACACAGGTGATCTAATGGTTATGCTCTCTAGTGTATGTCTAGTTCTCACTTATGAAATGTTAAATTTTAATGTTAATGAAAAAAATAAGCACTAAAACTGTCTCACTGTCGACCGTTTCTACTTTAATTATACTTAGTTTACTGATATCGCGATAACTCAAACAAAAACGTAATTATTTGTATCCGGCAACCAAAACGGTGGGAATATTTGCAGAATCAGTAACTTGCCTAAACGTTCTGCCTTTTCTTCAGGATAAGACATTGATTAATGCATCTGGTTGAATAAAAATGGTGGCGGGGTGTGTTAAATAGGGGATCCACTTTTTTAGAAAGCCCATATTTAGCTTAATAAGGCCGCACTGTACACAAACCCTTCAATTATTCCTGATTCCTATTATTATTCCTATTATTCGGATACTAATAAATACTAATACTACTAATAACAATAATAATAATCTTCCATTTAAAGCAAAAAAAATAAATATATATATAGATTTTTTATTTTACTGTAGGTTTTGAACTGTTATAAATTGTTATTACCTGTAAGGTCTGTTTATTTATTGTATTTTGCTACTATAGTTTGAAATATAGGTTAGTTGTTATTTATAAATAAGAAATCATTATGATGCAAAAAAATTTAATTTAAATTTAAATAAAAATGAAGAAAAGAATTTATAAATTAACAGAGGTAAATCATTTTGGCTATGATGAAACTTTTTATAATATCATATAACATTTATTAGACCTGCAGTTTGCAACATAGTTCTGAGAACTGCTGCTAATACATGCAGGCAAAAGACAGGCTGTTTCTAATTCCCTTATTCCAATTGGAATAAATCCCTTCCCCCAGCTCAGTCAGCTGAAGCATCTCTTAAAGGTGTTCAATTGATGCATGACATCGGATAAAGGAGTAAATATTATTGATGGTTATGTTTAATGAGTCCACATTATCTGGTTATCAATTAGGCCTAATGGGCAATATAAAGAGGTTTCCTGAGTCTGCAATATGGATAAATGCTACCTGCAAGTTTAGATTTGGTGTCAGTCAATAGGAGGCTTGCAATTAAACAACAATTGAATTATGCAAATTATAATGACAGTCAACTGAATATTAATTAACTCACTTAAAATATATATGGTCTTGGGTTAAAGTATGTATTGTGATAACATAAAAGCAATGAGCAGCACGGAGGATAGTGACAGTAACTTGTGTCATGCAACTGAATGATAACATTTCATTAATCTGATGCAACTTTCTGTTTTCTGTTAGAGTGAGTACTTATAGACACCTGTAAAAACCTTTAGTGAAGTCAGTGTAGACTGATCAGCTCACTGTGGTTATACAATAGGTATTATAATGCAAAATCATCCTCAGCAGATAAAGGAACAGTCAAACTGTGAGACAAATCATAGATTAAAGTAAAATGCAATATTAAGCAACACCTTTTCTGTGGCTGGTAAATTACTTCACAAGTACAGCCATCATTTTAGTTCCGTCCTTATGAGCGGCCTCCACTTTAAAAAATTTAACAAATATACTACCGTCCAGCCCTGGGAACTAGTATCTTGTGGCTCTTCTGGGTTTCAATGAAAACTATTTTTACTATGTAGAATTAGCCTGAAGCCTAGTAAGATTCAAGTACTGAGAGGGGAGAAAACTATATGAGTTTGAGTGTTGCTATTATATAAAAACCTTGCATCCTGCCATGTCATTCTAGCAACGCCAGTCAGTCAGGAAGCTATTTAGCCTGTTGACCTTTCCCCTTCATTAATACCAAGCTCAGTTATGAGTGCAAAGAGAAGTTGTTCTTGTTTCTTAAACCAGAATCCTTTTAACTTAGAACTCTGAGAGCATTTTGTAGAAGGGGATGCTGGGGTCATGCAGTGGGAGAAAATCCAAAAATATAAGCCAGTACGGGCATCAGTTAGGGAGACAAAATTGTTTTTTTAATTGATGGATTGAGATAAAACATCAAGTCGCTTAATTAACTTGAGTTTTAATGTAATGGTAGAAAGTGAAAATAACCACTGAAGCCTACACTGGCTTCCAGGGAGCAAATGTATAGATTTTTTTTATTTTTAAACATAATAGAAACTGTGGCATGGAAGTCAATAATTAAAATGTTATTTTGACTAAGTGCCCGCCATACCACCAAGCTGAAATTTCAACTTGTCATAGTAGGAATAAACAGCTGATTAATTGATTAATCAAATGGTGATAATTAATCATATGTCAAGCAAAAATGCCAAATATATTTTCTTGTTCCAGTTTTTCTAATGTGACAATTTGCTGCTTTTCTCCAATTTATAACACTGTAAACTGAATTTATTTGGGTTTTTGGACAGCCATTTGAAGAGGTCACCTAGGATTTGAGGATATTGTGAATCTTTTGCAATTTTATAGACCAGGCAATTCATCAATGAATTGAGAAAATACTCATCAGATTAACAGATAATGAAAATAACTGTTAATTGCAGCCTTGATCAAAGGTAATATTGAAAACATAAACAATGGCTCCAAGTTGTGCAAGTATGCAAAACTCCAGGGCCCTAAAACACATTTACGAAACGCATGTTTGATAGGTCAAAATGTTTACCTTGACAAAGGTTTGTTGTATATTGTTAAATCTGTGAAATCACCTCCTGAGTCTCTCTGAAATCACACAGTAAAGTAATACAGTCTGTTTAACAATGTGCATCATCATCTTTTAAGCTGTTTATTCTCCTATCCAGGTAAAGGTGTGGTTTCAGAACAGGCGGACCAAGTACAAGCGACAGAAGCTGGAGGAGGAGGGACCAGACAACCAGCAGAAGAAGAAGGGAAATCACCACATCAACAGATGGCGCATTGCCACCAAGCAGGCCAGCTCTGAGGACATAGACGTGACCTCAGAGGACTAAAACCGTCATCCAAACTTCCGACAATGCTGCCCCAAACCCTGCGTCCCCTTCTGACGCATCAGAGGACCAACACTATTTATTATGTAAAATTATTACGTATAATTAGACACATTAGAGGAAGACAAAAGGACTAAATATGTGATCACCACACATCTTGTCATCGAGGTGCTATACTCAATGACCATTATTTAATGATCTTTGGTGTGTGACAACCAAAGATGAAGAGAAACAACATCAACCTCTATCATAGTGTTTGTTTTTTTATTTTAAATTGTACATAGGCCGCTTATAAAGGGTTGCTTTTGAAAGAAGCTATTTGTTTCATTAAAGCTGTTTTTACCACCTGCTTAGATCATTAACACCTCATTGCTCACCCCACCCACTCCACCACCTGTGTACCATGTTAATTTAAATTTCTCCTCAATGACAAGAACATGTTGTCGCACACTTTTAATCCACCCAGTAAGCCGGTGAACAGGCTGGTGACTGGCCAAAAGAACAAAGCAGGAAATTAACCATGTGTCAAAGAAGATCCACTTTTGTCACTCGCTGCATGATTTTATTTTTCCTGGCGACTTGAGAGCCATACCAGTGCTCCGTTACGCTTCCCAATGAAGATTCTACAGAGAGACGATTCATGGCCAGCTGTGCATGACTCTGGGACAGCTGAGAAGATGCAGAGACCTCTGGTGTTAGGGGCGAGTTGTGCCACATAAAAAAGCAAGTTCACAGCTTTGTGCTTCTTCTGCCATGCAACATTTCTGGGTGAGGGGTGATGGATGACATCTCCATTTGTTGAATGTCTGCAGATTACATTAAGCGCTGCGTGTAGCATAAAACATATATGAGAACATACTTTTGAAGAAGAATGTGTAATTACAAAAAGATGTTTTAGAAATAAAAACAAAAAGCTATTTCTCTGATGAGAAATGTAATGTTGTTGTGTAGTTCAGGTGCTCACTTCATCATCTTGTCAACCAGGCTGGAGAGTCTGTAGGTTTTCCTTTATACCAGTTATTACAGCACTCCTCTACAGCTGAAGGTGCATATGCAAATCATTGTAAAACATGCTGCTGCAGTGTTAACCAAAGTGGATTTTCAATTTTCATTTGTTTTATGCTTTAAAACAGAGAAAAGTAGAGAATTAGGAAACATTTTCATTGCATAAATATGATTCATGACAGGTCAAAAACCCCTTCACAGGGTTTTCTTATGTTGGGAACCACTGATGGATACTGAGGTGTCAGGAATGTTGCAGCACAGGTGTCAGGTGTGTTACCTATCGGTCGGTATTTTCTCTGAATTCCAGCAGACAGGGGGCCTGCAATAATTGTGTGGAACCTCTAGGAAAAAAAAGAGGGAAAGTAGTTACTATTGTGCGGCAGCCCTTTCACCACACTGCTTCAGTAATCACCTTTCAAAAGAAACGGAAGGAATCTCCTCCTAATGCCCCCGAGGGCTTTAGAGATGAGCCCTGACGTCTGACCCTGATGTCTTGTTTTGTAAGCTAAGAAACAGAGAGCCAGCGAGGAACAGGGGGGAGGTGGGAAAGTAAAATACACTGCAGTAGTATCACCTTTTTACAAAGGTGCACAACAAGTCAGCCATCTGTAGTTGCAAAAGGGGCCACATGCCTTGTTTTGAGTTTCCAGGATATCCTATACTCACTGCAGGTGCAAATTCATGTTAAAAGAGATTCAGCATTCCTTATTGTCCAAATAAACACTATCAAAGGAGTATTTAACCATTACAATAGCTCACTGACACTCAAAGCACTATAACCGCCTGGGTTTAGTACCCATCACATCTTGGTCAGGTAAAAGGTCAGTTCAATTAAATGGAACTGCACCTCTCAGTTGTCTGTTAGGAAAACAATTAAGGAGAAAATCATGCCCATCTCCCTAAACGCTGAGTCTTCTGTCACCTGAGTCAGCAGAGAGGAGAGTTCAGAATGAAAAACAAAAGTCTCTCCAGAGGAGTAGAGTGCTGCGAGATCCGGGAAAGAGCTGCCAGATCCCTGCTGCTGATGCAGCAGCAAAGGTGTTAGAAAAGTGAACTGAAACACAACAACTGGTTTAATCATTATTGTTCGATTACTAGTTTTCTGTGGGATGACTGAAGCCCCCTATTTTCTCAACTAACATCACAAATTACATGTGTTTTATTGTTGGTTATAAAATTGATGATGAGTGATAAATTATGCAGTGTAGTCACAGTTGTCACATTGCATTCAGTTAAGCAGCAGTATGCACACTGAATAACAAATCACAACTGAATAATTTTCAAAATGACTGACACAACAGTGAAATGAAATGATCTAATTTGAGATATTTGCATACAATTCTGACACTAGCAATTCAACTACAGTGCGCTACAGATCAGATATAGATATTAGTTATATATGAATGTCTGAGTGTCTGTCTGAGACATGTTCAAAAGACAAAATTAACAAACAAAATATCCATAAATAAATTATATAAAATATATATGCAAAAAACATGTTTGCTAAATTGGTATTTGTTGGTATTAAAACTGAACTCACTGAATTGTTTTTGAAGTTATAAGCTAAATTGTTAAAATATAGTCCTAGGAAATGGCAGGTAACATTTAGTTAAAACTCTTAGCCTTACACAGCGAAATCTGTCAGGCAGAACTAAATGTGAGGAATGTGCTAATATCTTACTGCATCAAGAGAGACATCCTCTCCCTAGAAAAAGGAATGATGCAGCGTCATCAGCCCTTTTAAAACAAGCACACCTTTTCCTCATGAGATACCTCACGCATGTTATCAGAACACCTGGGTTACCTCTATAAGTTCTCTTTCAAACATTTGCTCGGTATCTCACTATAGGATATACCCATATTGCCAGACAAGCTTATCTTGAAGACCAACAGCCAACCATTAGGCTGACAAATTACAACCCTCACAGGAGCCCCCACTTGTATGCACCAAAGGGAGCACAGTAACATTCAACACATGGAACCTTGCAAAGGTATGAGGTGAAGACCAACTCACTGCCATGCAAATATCTTGGAGAGACACGCCTCTAAATAGGGCCCAGGATGTTGCCATCCCCGAGTAGAGTCAGTGTGTAGACCAACTGCTAAAGAACTGCTTGCTGCTAAATAAATAGCCCAAACTAGCCAAATGAGAAACCCGCTGTTTTGTGATAGGCTTACCAGGAGCCTAATCACCTGTGTTTTTGTCCACATAGATGCGCAACACAATGTATACAACTGCTCCTGTTCCAAGGGGAAGAAAGGGTCACTAGGTCAAGGGAGAGACACACCGACTTAGGGTTCTTCGGTATAAAAGGCCACACACAACTCCTGTGGCAAACTGAAGATAGTCAGGGTGCACTGAAAATGCATTAACATTGCTGACTCCCTTAGCAGATACCAGAGCCATCATAAGTGACAGCACTTAGATATTCTTGATTCAAAGGCTCAAAGGGTGAGTGAGACAACATATCAGAACAGTTGACAAATCCCACGACGGGACAAGTTGACCAGTCGCAGATGGTGAGTACTCATAAAACAGGCTGACAAGGGGATGTTGTCCCACAGCCTTACCATCAAAACCTAGACAGCACACTGCAGTAGCAACAATGCAAAACTTAACTGTATAAAAGGCTTTGCCCTGATCCACCAAGTCTTGCAGAAAGCTGAGAATTATGGGCACAGAGCACTGGAAAGACATCCCACACATCACATAACCTGAAACACCAGTCCTCAAACACATCCCATTTGGTATCATATAGTGACCTGGTAGAAGACGCTCTAGCATTCTAGCATGAATGGTTGTAATGAAATTCTCTTGAAGTCCAACCTCATCCAGGTGTATCCTCTCACGGCCAAGCCCAGAGCACTGAGGATGAAATATCTCCCCTTGCATCCAGGTCTCTGCGGAAAAGGGTTGTTTGTGAAGGACCTGGATGATGGCAGCCAACCATTGCTTCCCCTTAGCCAATGAGGGGCTATCAGGGTGAGTGATAAACCATCTCTCACATGCTCTGGCCAGTGTGAGCGGGATCACGGCCAGAGGAAATGCATAGAGCATAACCTGTGGCCACCTGTGTGCTAGCATATCTAGCCCCAGCGGCACCATTGTGGTCTCTCAGGGAATGGAACATGGGGTACTAAGTACTCGAGGTGTCCAGATCCAGCGAGCCCAAATGTGACTGGTCACCTCTGAATGGAGATTACGTTCCCTATAAAGAGGATTTCAGGACATGGTGGGTTTCCGTGACAGGAGTTGCACACTGCTCCACAAAATCAGCCTGTGAGCCGGTGTGTGAAAACGAGGGGATTGCAGTGCACCTTGTCTGTTGATGTAAACCACCACAAATCAAATTGTCTGAGCTTACAAGCACATGACGACCACTTCAGTGTCCCAGAACCCAGAATACTGCTAGGAGTTTATGTAGGAGAAATGAAGGCGAGGAGCCCCATAAGAACACCCCGTTCACAATCCTGCCCTCTTGGGTGGCACCCCACCCCTGCGGTGATGCATCTGTCCTGACCACTTCGTTGGTCATGACGGGTCCCATTGGAATCCCCTGTGTCAAAAATCCAGGGAGTTTCCACAGATGAAGATCTTTATATAGCTAGTCACTATAACGTGAAAGCAGGCTTAACTAATGCTCGTGAGGTGGATAGCTGGGCTAAGGTGCTTGGTGTAACTGTTTGGCAAGACCTGGATTTCTATGCAGAAGAAATCGGCAAGAAAAAACAATTAGCGCCCAGTGATTGAGTGGTTTGCTCAATCTGTGGACAGTTAAGCCAATGTTCCCATTAGTAGTCATGTAGAGAGATTCAGCTTTCTGATTGAAAAGTGAGAAAAGGTGTTTGAATGAGATGATAATGCTGCATCTTCCTTTTTGTAGGAGGAGGATGTCCCTCCTGTTGATGCACAACAGGCTGGTGTAGTGGTAGTGGACTTCTGAGGACTTCGCAGAGGCGCATACCCATGTGATATACATAGGTTCTCAATCAAACATTTGCTAAGTAATAAATAAAGCATCAGATGCATTTCTTTGAAATACAAAATGTTTAATGAATTGGATTTTGTATTTATTTGTCTCACCCTGTTTGTGTGCCACAACTTCCACCCAGCATCCTCCACTGATGCATGTGGCTTCTTGTCCAATTACGCTGCATCGCAGTCTATCGTGTTGCGTTCCCTCGGCAACAGTGCAAACATACTAATCCCACAGATCATGACAAAATATAACTAGATAGATACTTGAAAACAGAAAGTTTATATAAACCCAGTGCAAATACATTCACAAAGATAGAGCAGCATTTTAACATTATGGCTTTCAGAATATTTTAGGTTAAGACTTAAAAGAATCCTTACTGTGATTATTATTTTTGTATGTGTACAGTACTCACTTTTCACTTTTGTTTGATTACAAAAAAATTAATTAGTTAATCTAAAAAGATGAGTGCTTTCACCTTGGATCAAACCAAAATGCAGTTATTTTACTATATGAGAGGGACTCAACATCCACATCCCAGTTAGAGGGAGTCAAAACAAATATTGACATTTAAAATCATTTATTAATAATAATGTTTTCAATACCTGCTGTTGCAACAACAACAACAAAAAACAGTATCATTAGATGATTCCAAAGGAGATACTGATCTGTTTTGATTTCAGTCGAGTTTAAAAGGAATTTTTTGGATTTAAGGGCACTATACAAAATTGCATTTCAAATGGGGACTAAATTAAGTTTATAAAAATAAAGTAATGGTTTTCTAAATTATCTTCTGTCACCTCATATCTCGCTAAAACTATTACAAAACAGCCCTTTCCATTTGGCAAGAACTTCCACATCCATTAAATAAATGGTTGGGATGGGATTAGAATCGTTGGCATGGGATTGCCCAGGTGTAATATTATAGTTTTACCCTTTCAGGCATCTAAAAAGTGTTTTGGTTAAACAATCTGAGAGGAGAAAATCATGCTTTGATTGAATCGCTCACAACTTATAGATGTGCAACCTATGACAATGGGTTGCAGGGAGATGTTGCTTGCTTTAAAGGGTAGCAAGAGAAGATTGGGAATACTTGCTTTAAAAAATACATTTTAGTAATTGTTCCTGATTTCATTCAGTCTTTACATATACAATCAAGACGTCAACTAAAATCATTTAGACATGTCAAGCTCCAAAAAAGGGAGCCAGTAAGAAAAGAAACCTGGTGTATATTTTCCTGTATCACACGTCATCATGTGTTGTTGCTTATTTAACGACTGTAGTCTTGACGTAAACAACACATATTCTCAATATCAACTGCCTTTCTCTGTAAACGTATGCTAACTGCTCACACAGCCAAATTTACCATAATTCATTCTCTGGCAGCTTCAGGGAGTTTGAACCATGATGAGCAGCGGGTCCTTCATGTGTCGGGCAGCAGAGATCACTCACAAGCCTTTATTGTATGTCACAATTTTACAATCTGTTGCCATGGCGATCTCAGGCTCTAGCTGATTCACACTGATCTGTGGGAATCAAAGCAGAACCAAAAGGTCACTAGTGAAAAATGGAAATACTTGGCACAAACTTGTTAGATATAATGTGTTGACATAGTATATGTGTATGCTGTAAATGCAATCTATATTTGTCTACATGAACAGTCTACAGCTACGTAAAGATTTAAAACAGTTTAATTTGTAACTAAATAATTCTTAAAAGCTTTAAATATTCTGTATTTACTGCTAATGTGCAAAAAGAGCCAATTTGGCAGATTAAAGTCTAATAAGAGGTTGGCGTCTCCTAATATTTGAACTAGAGACAGATGGCTGTTGGAGTTGGAGGCAGAATCCTAATCAGACATCTTGGTAGGTGTGAAATGGGGAAGTGGGACAAATTGAGTAGGCGGGGGGTCCTGGGGAACAGGGCATTCATGTTGCTTTTTTAGGGAGTTTTTTTTTTTTTTCATTCTTGCGAAAGTGCAAAAAGGACTTGTGAGAGAAAAACAGGCCCTTCGTGGAACGGGAGGCAGCTTTTCACAGGACTGTTGGCTGCACATATGTCTGAAGTTTTTTGCCATATGGCTGTCTGAGCTATTTCCAGTGGTAATTAAATCCTAAACATTTTAAAGCCAGAGCTGGTTGGCTTGTGTCAGTAAGTCATTTGGCAGAGAGAAGACAAAGAGAGAGATGGAGTGAAAAACAAAATCATGCCATAGCTATTTAATGAGTAGAATGACACATACTGAGGTAATAAGGCTAAAGCTAGATCTCAGCCTGCTAGCCTGGATGGCATCAGTGAATGAAGGTAATAGAGGCTCAGGGCAGATCATAACAGAGCAGGTCAAGTCTTAGTGGGCTACGCCTCATTAGGAGAGAGCCTCTGTAAAGCTTATTGGGGAACGTTAAAGAGGTCAAGAGACTATGGTCATCAACATCACTCATTGAAACCCATGGCAGACCTGAGCCTGAGGATGTAAAGAAGTAAAGAAACAAGGAGCTCTTGGTATCACTATCAATTTGGACGTTGAGTCAAGTATTGACCGAGTTAAATTATCACCACACTGTTCATCTGTGACATATTAACAGATATAAAACACCACTGGTTAAACCTAAGCCCAGTTAACAAAAGTTTGTACATTTACAATTGTCTGGCAGCTTTTTGATTTATTTGTAATGAATCAAAGAAGGAGTCAACAGGTAACATAAGGACTGACAGACAGTATGGCTGGAAAGAGTAAGAAAAAAACTGCCGTCTATAGAAACTTCAACAACAGGAAATCCCAAAAAAGCTTTGCCACAGTAGTACTACCATTTAGTTTGACTGACAGTTGATTACCGCAGCACAGAAACACCAAAGCAAAGATCTCTTAAGACCAAAAATAGAGACAAAATAAAAACAAAAGATTGTTGTAGATAAATTTGAAAAAAGGCCCTCCTAAACACCTTACTGAATGATGATATATTGTATGTAATAGGAAAGACACATTCCTTAGCAGAGAAGGTTTTGGGGATAACGTACCTGGGACATCTGTGGGAAGAGACTGATGGCGAGAGGCAGAGCCAGGCTGAAGGCAGCAAGGCACACCAGACTGTGGACGGGCAAGATGAGCATCCGCTGTCTCTGCAGGAGGGGGAGCCTGGTGGTGCATAGAGGAGACAGAAACACTAGTGTTGTAGTCAAGACCGCTCAAACCGAGACCAAGTCAAGACCAAGACCGAGGGAGGGCGAGACAGAGTCAAGACCAAGACCAGTTCCCCACATTACATGACACACAATAAAATGTGGAACGAGATCATAGGTACTTCACAAATTGATCTGAAAAGTCCACATTCCAACTAAAACACCCACGTACAAACACTAAGAGCTGAAATCAACTTAAGCATCTTTATTCAAACACTCCTTTTCCATGCTTACCATCGCGGGGAGGGGGGACAGTCGTTAACGGTAACAACACATTTTTAATTAGGGTTATTGGTTCCATTTGAAGCAATACATTTTACATCCAGTCAAAGTTAGGATGTTAACAAATAATTCAGAGTATGCAAAAGCAATTTATTGATATTCCCAAAGTTATGGTCTTGAAATAAAATCCCGAGTCCTCAATGTCAGAGACCGAGACAAGACTGAGTACAAATACTGTCGAGTCTGAGATGAAACCAAGACCATCAAAAAGTGGTTTTAAAACCAAGACCGGTCCCGAGTACTACAACACTAAGAAACACGGTAACTTTATTCACCTCGCATTGTACAGATAGATGTTGTGGTGGTGGCACTAGGGATGTATCTTTCACAAACTTACACTGTAAGTAAATACTAATACTTAAAAAAAGTCTAATATGAGAAATGTGAACTTAAGTTGTTAATAAACAATGTGATAGCATATCTGTACATTTGACATTTCTTGTTAATTATTGTCCAACATACAGTATATGCCAATACAGATATATCAGCTAAAATGAGCTTATCACAGATGTAATGACCCAGGTGAGCTCTAGACAGAAGAAACTCACACTTAACACAATTCAATATACAGTGGCTTGCACATACAGTCATCATGTGTCGATTCACTATTCAATCAGTACATGCATTCAGGAGATTCAAATTTTCTAGACCAGTCATCAAGGTAGACAAACATCTTCAAAAAGTAAAGCTTTCTGGAATTAAAGCAAACGTTTTAATAACTTAACTTTGTCCTATTTGCCAAAACCAATTTCAGGTATCAGGTATTTTGCAGATTATCAGACTTGATGTCACAGTAACATGACATACTGCATGTCAGACAAGCAGGTGTACACAACCTAATGTCTTCATCTGTCATCAACTCATGATCAGGATGACAGCACAAAGGTCCTTAATTATGAAGTGGATGAAAAGATCAAAGTTTTTATTAGAAATTAATTTGAAAACTTCTAATTAATTTGAAAGGCATTTCTTCTTAGCTCTAAGAACCAACCAAACTACTTGCATTGACAGCAAGGTTTGACAGTTGAATCCACTGTGAAGACTTTGGTAACTGTTCAAAACTATTAAAATCCATTCAATTCTTGTTTACAGTTTAATCTTTGCTTTTATTGTCATTTGTTTAGAATTGTACATTTGTTGTGTTAACTTAAATAACGCTTATGTGTGTAATCACTTACAAATGTACTGTAACCGTTTCAAAAATGTATTGCCATCCATTGAAAAAAACTGTATTTTCTCTATCTAAACAAAACAGATTTTTTTTTAAAGAATGCTTTAAAGATCCATCTCCAGAAATATATTTTCTCGTCTCAGCCCATATCTCTCCTCCCTCCGTAGGATAATCCCCTCTTCAGTGTGTGGGACAGCGAACTCAGCAGGAGCTTGAGAAAGAGCCGCTCCATCTCTCCTCCACCAGCGACGCCTCTCCCCCTAACGAGGAAAGCTACTGCCTAATGAGGGAGCTCATTAACACATATGGCTGCCATGGTTTAATTAGGCTACACACACACACACACACACACGTGCAGATACACATCTTAGAATTGAATTGCAAAGATAAAAGTCAGTGGGATAAAAGTTGAGAGGTATGTGAGATGACGGAAGGTTTGGCCACACGTAAGTTTGAAAACCTTCACATCAGGTGAAAATTTTGATATTATGCAAAATCAATGACACAGTTTCACGCAATACTGGCTGCGTTTACATTGAGTAACCTGGCTAGTGGCCATATTCTGGTGGAGGTCTTACCCAGGTTTAATTGTTTACATGAACTACTGGCACTGTGACTGAGCCTCCCTGTCGCCATGAGAAGACCAATTAAGAGAATATCCCTGCTGACTTGTGTTGTGTCAAACACAGATACAACACTATGCCACTGAATGACTCTGACAAAACACTACATTTCTAAATTCCAAGAGCAACTGAACTCATATCAGGGAGTGGCAATAAAAAAAGTCTATGTTTGAATGAAGAAAACAAATAAATGTGATGGGCATAGAGCGGTCATAAAATATGGTACTTTTTCAATTTTTAGTTATTTGAAATTTTCTATGTTTTTTTCTAGTCTTGCAGAACTTGTTGTGTTGTATATACAGAAGTATGTGAAGGGGAACAATTAAACTGTAAAGCAGGTTTCTCATTTCTACACTAAACAAACACCTAATGAAGGAGGCGGGGGTGATGATGAACATAAAAATGCAAAAGAATTCAATAAAAGCCAGAAGGCATTTCTTTGTCAGCAGCTGAAGATGCAATTGTTTAAATACTGCAGGTGCTCTAGAGATAAATTCTTTTTCAGCAGTTCAAGAGTTCAGACTCACTACTCTACAGAGGTATAACACCATGGAAAATGTAACGAGACAAAAACGTAAATTTATAAGTGAGCAAACATGGACGTAATCAATGCAGATCTTATAATACCCCCCCATATCCCCAAGTTTGCCAAGTTTAATGACATAGGAAATGCACTCAATCTCAATGATACACAATGAATATGTTTGTTTACAAGAAAGCTCCACAAAGAAACTTTACGGTTAGATACACGAGGTATGTTGCTTCTGTACAAACTATAGTACCTATAAACTTAACGGAGCTCTTTGTTGATAAATCTGTGCCCACATAAAATTCCTATTTTAGTTAGTTCTGAGTATATAGTATTACGTGTTTTTCTAGTGTATGAATGAGGAGCCTTGACTTTATTGTTGCCCCCCATTTCTGAAATCAATCTTATGCCCTTAGAGGCACAAACAACCCGATGGTTTTTCAGATTAGCCAGCTAATGCTAATGATGGGCTTGCAAACTTGATTGTCAAGTATTGAAATAACAACACAGTAAGCCTGTGAGATGATATGAATTTGTTCACCATCAGACATTTTGCCATGCTGTTTATACTGTGGTAGTTATTCCCTTAATATCTGGGTTTATAAGTTTATTTTGGGCAATGTTGCAAATCAAGGAGGTCTACTATTTGGTAATACAGTACTGTTTTTGCAGGATCTTTGTATCAAAGTGATGAAGTAACTGGCAACAGATCCCATGTCCTTCTTTTCCAGAACATATACTATATGACAATATATATTGTTATCCTGATATTAAATAAGATACCATGAAACAAATATTTTATCCATATTGCCCACCCCTATTTTTGGAGAAACTGCGTCTTGCACTTTCTGAGCCCTTGCACTCTATCTGTAGCTGTTACATCACAGTATGAGTGTGGCCCCAAACAAGTTAACTGAGTATTTGGGCAGAAATGGAGATTCTTGATGCAGGTAGATGTAGCCTGTAAGTCACGTATAAATAAATACTTATATAATAATGTTCTGAATACACTTACGGGTCTGTGGCCTCTTGCAGCTACTGAAGCGTACAAACTGCTGTCACTGCCCTAAATCTGCTCTCAGCAGTGTAATCCATCATTGGGGGGCCATCTAGGGACCCATTTCTGTCCCCTTATTCTCGCTCCATTGAGATCCAGTGAAGGCAAGTTGACAGAGAAGATAGCTGAGCACTACTCACCTGCTACCACAGTCAACCTCACAGCCCCCCCGCTCACGCTCATACACTCCCTCCCTCTCTCTCTCACCAGTCATTCAGCTACCAGGAATCCCAAACACACCTGGGCAGCCAGCCCCACTGTCTGAGCCCGCCTGCTTGGAGCAGTCAGGACAAGTGCTGTCAAGGATTTACAAAGATGGCTGCATTCCTCGGCACACCGCAGGCACAGTCAGGCCATCGATCACAGGACGTCCGCATAAACACATTGCATCATTAAGACTTCATTACAGTCATATCACACAACACTGATTTTCAGTGGTGGAAAGGGTTCATTGACTACAATAGCATTTCTGATGCTGAAGGAATCTGAGACTGAAATATTCAAAATAATAAAGAATTTTACAATTCTATTAATTATTTATGAATTGTCATTTAATTAGGGGTAATTTGCTATTTTAATTAATCTAACTCATATTATACCAGAACATTAAAACTCTCACCACTTTCATTACAGCATTAATTAACTTATTTAATTAAGAAAATGGACCTCTCTAACACAGATTAATACACACAATATTCAACGTGCAGTCTCGGTCTCTTTGTCCTGTGAAAAATGATTTTGCCCACATCAACTTACATTTTATGTGTAACAGCAGCAACATCAGTATTTGAAACAGGTAGAAAAGAAGTTAGCCTGAGAAGAAAGTCAGAATGGCTGAATGGACAAAAAAAGGGTGCCACATACAGAAAGTCAATCAGCAGAAAATCCAGGGGAAAATAAATAGGTTAAGAAAGACAACTCTCAGTGCCAAGAGAGATTTCCTGTGTTGCCATTTCAAAATGAAAATCCATTTTGAATTGAAGCAGATGTGGCTCGCTTTTGGTCTATTTTTCCGTTGTTAATTAGCTACAGTCTAAACTGTCTGTGTGACAATAGAGGGGGTCACCAAAACAAGAAAACAAGGATCTTTCTTAATGATTATGTTAAAAATATAAGTTAGGTGATTCTATATTTCTCTTATAGTCAACAATTCTCACAGAAAGACCAAAACCACAAGTACCGGCTGTGTAGCTAAAGCTTAATATAATTTTTTTTTCTATGTCATAGAGCTCCATTTCTGTCCATTGTTGTCAAAAACGCATAAATGAGCCACACTGTTGCACTTGGTGGATACAAGCAATAAAACCCAGCCTGCATATGAGAGTACAAAGCAACACTGGGTTTATTTTTTTTAGTTGATTATAATGTGGTTGCCTCCTATCACTAAAGGTTTGCTACTCACACCTTCTCTAGATTGCCTAGTAGTAGCCAAACAAGTTTGAAAAAATAAATTATGGGGTCTCTTACTTTTCCAGCACAGCCATGATCATGGGAGGGAGCACCAGAATTGGCATAGGCAGGACCACTCTGGTCAGAGAGGTTTCTAAAAGTGCCTGTCACAAAAATAAAAAGAACACACACAAACAAATTTGACAGGTTTTTGCTTTTTACTAAAGGAAGAAAAATCTGCGGTTTTATATCACATTCAAAACTTTACATCAGTCAGTAAGAATAATAAACCAACAAAGCTGCACCTGAAGAATTCATATCAGATAAAAAGTTGTAAGGGTTGAGCAACATACATGCCTGGCAGCAACTTTTGATGTTCCCACCACGTTCCCGTTGCCGTCGAGCACACTGATGCCCTCCGACAGCTCAGAATGTCTCATCAGTACCACGTTGCAGACGTTCGCACTCGCTGTTAACGGGGTGAAAATGCTTTTAGATATCAAAGTGAAGTCTCTCACCTTTTTGATGGGTTCTATTAATACACAATTAAGCAAATTTTCTTTTCACCCCCTGGCTGGGGTTTAAGATTAGTCAGCCCTGTAGCAGGAAGGGGGTCAGTTCCTTGCTCAAGGGTACTTTAAGGATAAGGGATTACACCTTGAATGGCTAATGGTAGTGTCATCGCCAGACTGTTTGAACTGGAATTTTACTGACGAGCATTCACAGGCAATATTTTCCCAGAGAATAATTTAATGTCATGATCTCAACATTACAACATATATATTGCCTGCATTAATGATATTATTATTTAAAGATCATGACAAAATGTTCTGGCAATATCTTGAGTTGATGAAATAATTATTCTGTTAATGAATCTTGAATTTGTCATGCTCAAATTTTCTACACACATTAATGTTCTCAGGATGAATTGTAGTAACTTTTCATCGAGCACAATCTTCAGGTCAATACGTTGTTTATGAGCAAGTATCTGCTGAACTAATGGGCTTAGTGCTTATAAGCAAATGTTAGCATGCTAAAATGCTGGAGTACACAGTAACCACTATGGACCCTACCCTACGAAGTCTTGAAAAAGAAACAAACCACTGGTGCAACAGACAATGGACAGGTCGGTCAAGGAAAACAGCAGTTAATGACAGAAACACTGTACTGTCAGTGACATAATAAATAACCTTCAGAAGGCCGGAGTGAAAGCATCACAGTCTATTTGCAGAAGACTTAGAGAGCAGAATTACAGAGGCTACACCAGAAGATGTAAACCTCTAATCAGCATGAATCGCATGAATTGCAGTACAGAGATGAGCCAAAGGCCAAAGTGTGGAGAAATAAAGGATCTGCACATGATCCACACTAGCTCATCCCTGAAGAATGGTGGAGGTTGTGTCCTGGCTTGGGATTGCATGGCTGCTTCTGGAACTGGCTCAAAGAAATGCATCAAAACTCAAGTAGGCACTTCACCCTGCAGCAGGACAACGACCCAAAACATACTGCCAATTTAACCAAGATGTTCAGTGGGGAAAAGTGGAAGGTTTAAGACTGGCCAAGACAGTCTCCTCACTTAAATCTTAATGAGATTGTTACTATTGTCATTTTGAGCGTGTTAGCATGATGATGTTGTCATTAGCTCAGACACTACTGTGCACAAGTACAGCCTACAGTGGTTGTAGAGTTTTTTTTGACATATTGGCATTTACTGTTGTTACGACCCATGGGCCGTTTATGCGTATATGGGGTGTTGTGTTTGTGTGTTTTCCTCTCTGCCCTAAGCAGGACCTTGACCCGCCCCCAATGCTGCAGCCAGCAGGCTGAGGAGGCTGATTCTACTCTCCCAATCAGTGGAGAGTATAAGGGCTGGAGAAGGAAGCTGCTCTGGCGGCGAGTATGGTTGTCTACAGCGAAAGAGACAGTGTAACCGAGTGTTTGGAGTCTGTGGCGAGTGTGTGGCAGAGACAGTAACCGGCAGTGGGAGTCCCGCGGTTAAGTGTAGTGATTTACTGTTTTTTTGTTTGCACTGTGTGCTTGTGTGTGCCAGTTTGCAATCACTACTTTTGCGTTTGGTTATCCAATACCTTAGTTCCCTTTAAAAAGGACGCTTGTTGCTCGCTTCCCTTTTAGGAGTTGGTTTCTGTTGATTGTGCATTTAGACACTTTTTGTTAAAAATTGTAAATAAATCCCCCCCCCCCCCTTTTTTTTTTTTACTTACTGTCTTCAATCTGAGGTTTGTAACAACTGTATATTTGGATCAAGAGTAAGCAACATTTAAGAAATGATATATTTGAAGGGAACTAAGACAATAGTATTATTAATAATATAAAATGATTTAAAATAATTTATACCATGATGAAAATATCATAACTTATAACTGCCATTTAGAATCCTTCTAAAAGATGCTGATCCCCCATCCACCCAAATATAGTGCGTCGCTGCCAAGTCATTTGTGTCATAATCGACAAAACTGATTGCCATACCTCTGTGTCAGCGACGAACAGACCGTAACCAAGGTGACTGATAGGTTGACAAATCACAGTGTTGCTACCCTGTGATTTATTCACGAAAGCCAAAATGAACACAAATGTATGTTAATATAGCTGGACCTTTCTCCTTGACTCTAATAGGAATAAGAAAAACTCATTTTAGAGAGTTTAGTGGTGGAGCCGCAAGCCTTTTTAATTTAAGACAACAGCATTCAGAGTTATCTTTACTAAGGGCTGCAGGGCTGGCAGGTCGCTTTGTGAGGGGAATTCAATTGACTGAGCAAATAGCTGTTTTTACCTACGAGGGATTATTTTTATCCAGACCAATTAATAGAGAGACACACAGTATTTTTCCATGGAATCACAAAAACTACAGCAAAAATATAAAATTTTCAAAAGTGTTTGCAATTAAATGAATAAATATATTGAAGTAATTATAAAATTGAATTGCACAACTAAATACTGAAGTATGTGGCTTTAATTTGTAATTATTTGAAATACCGTCTTTTAATTTTCATCTAATAACTAGTGATACACTCATGGAAATGCATCCAAGAACTTTTCAAGTAATTACTTCCTAAATATCACAAATATTTTCAAAAACAACAAATTAATTATCCCCATACATTTCTGGCAGCATGTCTTTCACTCCAGTTAAGGTCTTCATAATCTAATTGACTGACAGGCCGCTGCTTGATTAGGTTATTACAAATAAATCTAGCCTTAAGTAAGCAAACTTAATCAAGCGGGTGAAAATTCAAACAGCACTTTGCTTTCGCTCAGTTCAATTAGACATTTAAATTACCTTTTATATGGGCCTACCAAAACAACAACAGCAACAACAATGAACAAACAGAAATCAAGTAAATGAGGCCTTGACATAGATGCCACTTTGGGGGTAATTATCCAATTTGTTTGCGGCAGCAGAGTTCTAACAAGAAGCCAATTACCAGGCAAAGGCTGCGCTTCAGAAACCTGTTGATTTAATTGAAAGAACCACCATGGTAAGAAAGGGGGGTTGGGGTGGGGGCAGGCAAATAATTAAATCGTGAGCCAGCAGCCCGGGGCATTCTGGAAGACGGGTCTATACCCCTGGGTGTGACTGTGTGTTTGCGGGAGAGTGGCATGAAAATCGTGGCTTTGTGGCTTCACACACACGTCTGTCAAAGCGAGCTCCCAACACGTCTTTCAGTCTGCAGAGGAAAAACGGACTGTGAGGAACAGAATGAAACTAATCACTCAGCTGTGCTTGGCTCTCACACAGACATTTCTAATGATCACGGAGGAGATCTAAAAAGGTTAGACACTGTTTTCATCAACACTAGGGATAAAAATTAGTTGATACCTTATCTGATGTTAGGTCTCCTGGTTAGTTTTTCAGAATTATTGTCTTTAATTGTATAATATGAAAGAAGAAAAAGCAGCAAACAGGCATGAAAATCTAACTATATGTGCTTATCACTACTTGTTTAGTTTACTCTTTGGTCCAATATGTTGACAAATTGGATGCATACCCATGACATTTGGGACTGTTATTGATGGTATCCTATTGATGGAGGATAATCCCTAAAAATGTTGGTGATGCCCTGTCATTTCATCTAGTCCCACCAACAGGTCACATCTCAAACACCTTATGACACGATACCTCTGAAATGAATGACCAGATTCTTGTTTTCCGCATGTAGATTTAGATTACTTTATACATAAAATGCTAAACATTAGCATGCCTCATTACCAGGGTAACTGTTAGCATGCTAACAAGCAAACACACTACCTAATAAAAGTTACGTACTCACTAGTGTTTAAGTATTTAAGACTTATTTCTGTGATATCATGCTAACCATGAGCTTGATAAAATGCTAATATTAGCATCTCCTGAATTTTACATACTAAATGTCATCATTCTCGTAAACTAACTATGTACATTAAGAAACTATATATTACAATGTCATTTTTGCATGTCAGCACTCTAATTGCACTGCCAATGTTGCCAAGCTAATTAACACTTTAATCCAAAACTTCACGCGCTAACTTTAAGCACATTAACGGGGCAAAGTTCCAACATTAGCATGCTAATGCAGTTTGCGCTTCAGCAGTGAAATAATTTCCATATAATTTTTTCTGTAACAACCTAAAAAAAATGACTTAATCAAAAATGTAAATAACTGATTAAACTCACAATGATTTAACATTGGCAAACCCGCCACCTTAAAAGGTTTAGTCATTGTCTCCTGGCCATTTGGTTCAAGACTAGACCAAAACTACTGAGCTTAAATTGAGTTTAAAAGGCCCTTTAAGTAGAGAAGTGGGCTTAATCCCTGTCCGTCCCATTAAGTGTTTCTCTGAGCTTTTTGAACTTACCCACTGCTGGGAAGGGGATGAACCTCTGCACCAAAAGCCTGGTAGTTGGGCTGAAGTGGCTGGCTTTCTGGATTAACACATTCAATCCGACCTGAAGGAAAACCAGACACACATGATATAGACAATCAGCCACTGACTCTGTTTTAAAAAGCCAATTATACACACACTGAATATTTGGAATTAATATTTGAATAAATAGTGGTCTTTTAAGGGTCCCATGAAACATGGTGTCAGTGCAGAAAAACATTGACAAAAAAACAAGCACATTCTTTGTGTAAAATTCCTCGCTCTCCGCACAATGAATTAAATACTATTTTAACACATACTGAAAGGCTGTAGTCAAAAGGATATGTGCTCTCAGATAACACACCACCATGCCACTTCAGCCTGCGGCTCTCCCCAGCCCTGTAGGGGGTCGTCACCAGAGCAGACATTTAATTGGAGAGCTCCTGACCCCCTCCACGCCCGCCGTTCCGCCCTCCAGACACCCTGCGATTTTTTTCTGTGCTTGTTGCCGTTGTCAAGTCTTAGTGCAGCAGCCGGATGAGCGCCCAGCGGGACCAGTAATTGGCTCAGTTTGAGCCCTGTGTCCACACTAAGGGCTGTGTCAGGCAGGTGTGTGAACATGTATTATACTCTTTTGACATTTAAGTCTATCATGACATAAAGGTTCAACTGATAAGGGTGTTATGAAGGCTTGTATTGAAAGGTTTATGCTGATGTTCAACTTCTTTGAATTTGTCCATTTTCCTGTCAAAACAATTAAAATATTAGGTGTTTCACCTAATGATGTAATCCTGTCACGGGGTATAAGCATGTGAAACGACAGTTAAACCTTTAAACTCCGCACCTGCCCACTGGTTTGAAAGATATAATGGATCCGCAATTGCTGTGTGATGACATCAAGTCATTGGAGTCACAACACCTGTTCAGTCAGAGCAACGACATTATGCGAACTCACAGCAATGGAGACTGCGCTGGTCACTGCTCCGAGGTATCCCTGAATGAATTTGGAAACTGGAGCAGGCTAAAGTGAAAAGTAATAGATTAGAATATGAAACAAATGTTTATGTAAAAGGTACATAAAGGTATCTGCCTAAATGAGACTCTCTATACTGCTGATACAGTACCTTGGAGGCGTTGCGGTTGCAGTAGTTAACACAGGCATTGTGACTCTGGTTTAACCACTGTGCAATGAGAGGAACTTGTTAGTAAATACACCTGATGTATTACAGGTGCTACATTTAGCATTTTCAACATTGTTGTCCCTGTCTGAATAAACAAACGGGACTATTGAGGTTCTTGACTGTGGAAAAAAAATGTATCTGACATAAAATATGTTTTTGTCTACCACAGCATCTACAAACATACACAAATGAAGATGTAAAACATAGAAATGTGCATACAGCAGTAGAGCAATAAAGCATTTGGTACTATATGATTTCCCGTCCCTCCAACAACAAGCCCACCACCTGGCTCATCATCGATCCCTTAAAACCCCACTTAGGTATTGTTCAACTTCAATTCCAAGCTTTCCCTGAGCTTTCACATGTATCTTAAGGCTGTCAGGTTCTGGAAAGCTGATCCTTGATTTCAACATTTGAATTTTATTGCAGAAATGAGGCGATGATTTAGACAATGGCAGTCTATCTCTCACACCAGCGGTATTTATTTCAGTTTATTTAAATTAAAACCAGATTTTCCATGAACCCCCCTGCATGACAACTGATTACTTTCAAAGAAAGAAGAAGTTCCTAATATATCAAGCATTTTTAACAAATGTGTTAAACATAAAACATTGTCAAGTGGATGAAAGGTGTATATTATTATGATTGCATCAATGTTAATCAATTGATTTTTCTTCTGGCACAATCTTCAGAATTTTTCATTGGATTAAGCATCTTGCCAGGACTGCAGTGTAAAATTGGCTGGCTGGTGAATACTGGAACATCTACATAAATGTTCATTAATTTGTGTTGTCTTTATTAATAAATAAATACATACATTAAAAAAATTCAATTGAAAATACGTCTTGATTACATTATGTCAGTCTGAGTTTTACAGCTCAAGTAAGTATTTACCTGCCAGAAGATAGTTGATACCAATGTTTGATTTGGGAGAAGGAGGCCAACGACCTACAGAAAGATAAAACCATTTACAAAATGATTACAAACAGATTATCGTATGATATGCGGTACATACTTCTTTTTAGCCTCCATCTACATTTTGAATTACTTACAATAAATTTGATGACTGGCTTTGTATTACTGAAATGTTTGTAACAAAGTCTTACCACTGGTGTGCCAAATGGGATAAAACCTGTTGAAAGACAGAGTCAATATTAGAGCCCGACTGACATGTGACTTTTGAGAACAATATCAATTTTGATATTTGAGGATTTTAAAATCCAATTTACTTGGAAATTCTTTTTGGTCATTATTTTTAGACACACATAACATAAACAAAGATTATCCCTAACATTTGTTAAGTGTAGTTATAAGACCTCACTAAGATAACGTGACATAATTCAGTTTAAAAATAAGCTTTTTTAAATTGTTATAAATAGCACTTCAGTCAGTATTATCACTGTTACTATCTCACACTCATAACTGTTTGCTTTTAGGTTACTCTGCTGCCAGATTTAAAGTTCTTTAAAAATACATATACAGAGTGTTATTCCTAACATTTTAGCTGCTATTGTCTCGTTCTCCTGTCTCCCTCTCTCCGACACATCCAAGTCGCCTTACAAAAAAGGTGCTTTGAGGCTTGACCAAAATACCTCTGTTTGCAGAGTTCTCAAGAACTTCTCCGTCACTGTAGGAGAGAGGTTTTAATCAGCACCCAACTGAGTGTGACCTTTTCTAGACAACCCGAAGAACCCCATTGAGCCACGATAGTTCCCAGGCTGAATGACGCCTACATGTTTGACCACATAACAAGCCCCTAGATCCCACGTCCCCCAAGGCTTCCACACCAAGCTACTGTACCTGACATCCGAAAGGGCATGAAGATCTTCTCCCCCGTGTCAGGGTGGATGATGGCCTGTAATAAGAGCATAATGATTAGAATCAGACGATAATGAGTACTTGATGATTTAGATTAGCTTAGTTCAAATTAATTAGGAAGTAAGTAAGTTTCTGTGTGGTTAAAAAATGAAGGAAAGTTTTAAGTGTTACTGGAAATGAATAAATCAACTTAGATACAGTGGAACTACTAAAAACAAGGTGTGGCTTGGAGCACTTACTTAACTTACTTGTTTTCAGTTGTTTAAATGTGTGCACTTGGATATTATTGTTACTACATGTTGTTAACTATGTTCACCCTCAACATTCAACTAACTAGTATTAAACACAAATTAAACGTGTGGCTGATGGGAGGTCATGAGTTTCGCAGGTACTTGGAGCGGCTATGGCTCAGGAGATAGAGCGGGTTGCCCACCAATCGGAAGATCGGCAGCTCAATCCCCGGCTCCTCCAGGCGGCATGTCAAAGTGTTCTTGGGCAAGATACTGAACCCCGAATTGCCCCCGATGGCTGTTCCATCGGTGCATGAATATGTGTGAATGTTAGTCATACCTCTAGTGTGGCTAAAAATAAGCCTGTGGAAGTTGCTTTTTGATAAAATTTTCTTTACTACACTTTTCTTGCTTGACACTAAATCGCAGAAAACACAAATCATTTTGAAAAGTAAAAAAGGCATTGACAAAATTCTATCAGACTTTACTCAACTTCTAGTAGTAAAAAAAAATTACACCCTCACGAGTTCCATTTGAAGGCAGCATATTTCTCTGTGCACTTCCTTTTTCTTAAGTGTGATAGGCAAAATAGTAAAATTACAGTTTATTCTAATTAACTGAACCAATTGTCTAATTGTTTGCACCTGTGTCTACTATAATTAAATGCCGACACACTAAACCAACTGTATAAGCACCGATGAAGGTCTGAAGCTTTAGGTATTGATATATAACCTTTACTTTTGTTCACCAGAGTATTTTTGCGTAATGCATTCAAGTTGCAAAACCTTTGCTCTTACCTACTTTTCTCTGTGTTTTTTGGGCGGGTAAGCTTTTCAGATCTTCTCTTTTACGTACACACCAAAGACAAACAGCGGCGTTCTCTTAGTACAGCCGTAAGATAAGGCAGATGGAAATCTCTTTCCCCTACTGCTTCAGTGGTGATGACATCGGCTGATTGGAGAGAACGGAAGGCATCTAGCTCCTTCCTGATACTCATGGAGCCAATCTCGGATTTGTGAAGTACCGTATATGAGGGTATATTCATGTCAAAATATGCTATGTTTGCAGCACAGGGTAGAACTAACACTGTAAAACAGCCTTATATTACTTTCATATACAGTACAGCCGTGCAGCCCATAACACTAAAGACTAGCTAAATTGTTTGACAGTAGGCAGCTTGCATTTGGTCTATTCAAACCTCTTGTATCTAGATGCAGTATATCTAGATTGTGTGTTAATCTATTTAGGACAGTTCACACCTGCTATCAAAATGTGTCTCAAAGGCATTGAGTGACCACTTTTGAACAGATTTCACTGTCCTGCTCACATTTGATTTTATCGGAGGGTAAACGGGTACCGCTGAAAAAACATTCACATTTGTACTTAACCATATAGGTAGAGAAAATGACTGTCGTGTCCTTTTCTCACGTTGCCTCATGCCTGGACTCCACATTAAACTGTATCCAGTGCTTGGAAGATTTCTCGTCTTGTATGCACACAACAAACGTGACCCAGCGGCGCTTCATTGTAGACAGGGATATGTTTATATACTTTAATATATGGTTCAACAATTCCCAACCAGTCCTGCATGTGGTTTGAATAATCATCTTTAAATCCTAGTGCATTTTGGTGTATTCATATCTGTCTTCAGAGCTGGTAATAAGATCACATTTTAGTGCCGAGTTCAGTTCAAAACTGAGATTTGATGGCTTTCTTTTCCAAATAAAAAAAAAAACAATATAAAACAAAAAAGGTGCGAGGGGCAACGCATTACGTGAACATAGTGTGCAAGCCGTTGATTAATTTAAGAAAAGAACAGAACTCCATTTCATACTGTGTTAATAGACATTTCACTTCATAAAAGATCTACACTAGGTAATACAATATGTTCATTAAAATAATTAAGTTTTATTTAGACAAATGACCAACTGTACCTGCAGATCACTGATTGTCAGACATCCTTCGAAGCTGGCACATACTGCTAATTAGCACTGGAGTTAATACCACCTGCCTTGTTCACCGTCTTCGTAATTTTAATGAACATTTAATTAAACAAAAGAAAAAAATGTCTATTGAGGTGAGTAGACAAATTCTTCTTTAGTTTTTAAATCTGTGATAATGAGTGTTGTACGTACAAGTGTTTGTCCTGTACTTTAAGTCAAAACTGCTCCACAAAATCTGCTCAAAGATTGTAACGACCCCGTTGAGAAACTCTACGAATCAGCCAAACATAATTATATAATGAGACTGGCCGACAACATTGTCTCTGACCCCCCAACTATGTTTTGAACAGTGAATACAAATTGTTAATACCAAACTGGACATACAGGGTTCTATGATTTAATAAGCTTAGACTGAAACACTCTTCTGTACACCAGTCAGTCCTAAAATTATATACGGAGCATAATCCCTGATCAAATGTACGTTGAACGGCCTTGAATATTGTCTTCTGGGAATGTTGGGTTAATTGTGTGTGTCTTTGTCTCTTGTCTTGGTTTTTGTCTTCTCTGTGATGTTTCAAATGGAGCAGCTGTGATGCAAGAAAAATGTCAGACTTGATCTGACAAGAAAGTATTTTCATCGTCATCATCATCATGATGTAGTTCCTTCACCATTAAGCCTTTTATAAGGTAGCGTTTCACCATTTTTGTCAACTCTGTGGTATGTTTGTTGTACAAAACAGGTAAATGTTGAGCTAAAGTGTAAGTGTTCTGGTGGATGTGCCAACTCACTGACACCATAATAGGCAGAGATAGTGATCATAGCGTGTTTCTGTGTTGATTGAGAGAGGGGAAAAAATTGAATGAAAGAGAGAAATGTCTTACCTGCTTTATTTTTTGAGCTTGCCAAAGCTGTAATGACGAATAAGAAATACCTTTAATAAGAAAAAAACTTTTATTTGTAAGTACTGAATAGTCTCTCAGGTATTTCTTCAGATCAGTGGATGTGTGTTTTTCCACATATGTAATTTAGAATCATTAGCCTTTATTTAACAGGGACAGAGGGTGGTGAATGCTGTTTAGATTGTGAAGCCCATTGAGGCACATTTGTGATATTGGTCTATGTAAAGGACTTATAAACTGCTTTTTACAGTACATTTTTTCAGTTAAATACATGAAATGTAAAACAAAAAAATGGCAGCATTTAAATGTATATATAGGAGATGTTAGGCTGTTTTAAGATCTCCATGGTTGTCCTTTCTTCTAAATGCCTCACAAACAACCTGGATCTTTAACTCTTCTGTGGACCAACAAACACACCCTGAATGGTGTCCCTTTTCAAAACCAAAACGACAAGAAAGAATTAAAGACTTTGATGATTTTACAATGCTCATCAAAGGAAAACACTGTTGTCTATAAGCAGAGAGACTGACTTACGTGATCCTAAACGAGTTTGTCAACCCAGGTTTGTGTGTCTTTACCTGAGCATCAGTCACTCCTGGAGGCAGACTTCCACATTTGAAACGGTCTAGCAGCTCCACGCACTCCTGCAGCCGTTTCTGATTTCACAAAACAGATTAAAGTAAATGTAATGAACAGGAAAATGCAAAGTTAAGTCAGGACATTCTTCCCTGGAGAGTCTTAGTCAACTTAGGGATGGGTTTATTTTCTCTTTCACTATGTAAGCCACATGGCTCAATGTGCGATAATTGTATTTCACTCTTTCATGCATCACGCTTTCATGCTGATTTTCAGTTGACAAATGAGTTTCCTAAAAGGTAATGAGCAGCTTTCTGTGGTGTGATCATTGTCTAATGCTGAGCAAAATACAAGGTCATGTGGCCCAATTTGTTCTAATGAACTTGCCATCTGTGTGTGTGTGTGCGCTTATTCCTTTCTCTGTATTTGTGTGAGATAGTGTTAGGTGTGCACTTACGCCTGTGCGCATATGAGGTCATGTGTGCGTGACTGAATGCAAAATCCCGGCAGTCCCTGTTCCACTCTTGTCATTAAGGGCAAGTTGAGGCTACGCCTGGCCCAGCAGGATGCAAGGTGTGTGTGTGTGAGCATACACACTCCCCACCTCTCACAGCTGCCCCACATGTCCACACCTCATCACATCCCACGAGCTACTGCCGCTATTACTGTCACCAAAGAGCCTGCTAACAGCTTCATTACCCAGAGCACCAGAGCACTGATGACTCCATGAACAAAATTACCCCAACACAACCAGGACCTGGGGAAATGTTACAACGAGCAGAAACGCCCATGATGAGAACGGTCTGTAACCCAAAAGGTCAGAGATTTGTTCCCTATAACAGAGAATCCCTTTATATATATATATATATGTTAATAAATCAGTCATGCTAAATGACTAAAAGTTTAAAAACAATAGACATTTTAAGAACCGAAATTACCAAGTCAAATTCGATGGCATGTAGGTTTTCTTCCGCTCTTTCCTCTTACCTCTTCACTAAATGTTGTTTGTGCCACCATTTTGGCCCAGACCCAAAAAAAAGACAAACAGAGAGAGATTTTGGCCTCAAGAGGCTTTGTTAAACTTAACATCAAATAAAAAATTTTTAAAAACAAGATGGAATACCTATCCATTACCTCACTATAACACTACCAGTGTGTGGATGCCAACTAACTTGATTCATTCTCGCCGTCATCAGCCGCTTCTCCTCCCTTTACAACCAATGGGGTGTGATTTTATGAACAATACAGAATGCCTGTTCCCTCCTTGTTACATCTGTATCGAAAAATACTACATTCAAAACAGCCGCATATTTTACTGTGGTTGATGGTAATGCTAAAGTGAAAAATACACAATTTACCAGTTCAAAACATCAGGAGCAGTTGTTGCCTCTCACACTAAGGTATGTCCTCTTCTCGAGCTTAGTACTAAGGAATCCAAATGAACAAAAATGGCCATAACAACATTTAAGTGTTATTTCTAAACAAACAACTGTACCACACTGAAAGCAAGCAGCTCAGTTTGCACGCAGAGATTTCTGATCATTCACAGGACTGTCCATCTGTCTCTGCTCTGATCTGGGTTTTCATCATCAACCTTGGGCCAGTGTTGAAGACACCTGATGTCTTCTTTGATGCAAATTCTTGATTTTACACACCCATCCCCATCCCCCCTGAAGCACTGCGCCAATCAGCTGTCTCCGGTGTTCACAGACATTTTTAACACCTCACTGGAGACGTGCCATGTGCCAGCCTGCTTCAAAGCCTCCACCATCATCCCTGTCCCCAAAAAACCAAGGACCTCAGGACTAAACAACCCGTCACCCTGACATCTGTGGTAATGAAGTCCTTTGAGCGCCTTGTGTTGTCCCACCTAAAATCCATCACAGACCCACTCCTGGACACCCTGCAGTTTGCCAACAGGTCTGTAGATGATGCAGTTAACATGGCCCTTCACGTCATCCTCCAGCACCTGGACTCCCCAGGAACCTACGCGAGGATACTGTCATTCCAGACCTGCTACAGGACAAGCTCTCTCAGCTGAATGTGCCTGACTCCACCTGCAGGTGGATCACAGACTTCCTGATGGACAGGAAGCAGCACGTGAAGCTGGGAAAACAAGTTTCTGACTCCAGGACCATCAGCACCGGATCCCCTCAGGGCTGCGTTCTTTCCCCTCTGCTCTTCTCCCTGTACACCAGCAGCTGCACCTCCAGTCACCAGTCCGTTAGGATCCTGAAGTTTGCGGATGACACCACCCTCATTGGGCTCATCTCTGTGGGGGGATGAGTCTGCCTACAGGTGGGAGATTGACCATCTGGTGACCTGGTGCAGCCTGAACAGTCTGGAGCTCAACGCTCTGAAGACAGTGCAGGTGATCGTAGATTTTAGAAAGAGCCTAGCCCCACCCTCCCCCTATCATCCTGACTCCAAAGTCAACACCGTGGAATCCTTCCGCTTCCTGGGCACTATCATCTCCCAGGACCTCAAGAGGGAGCTGAACATCACCTCAGGATGTACTTCCTGCAGCAGTTGAAGAAGTTCAGCTTGCCAAAGACAATGATGGTGCACTTCTACAACCTCCATCATTGAGTCCATCTTCACCTCCTCCATCACCATCTGGTACTTTGCTGCCACCGCCAGGGACAAGGGCAGGCTGCAGCGTATCATTCGGCCCCGACATAAACTGTTTGACTCTCCACTCTGGTCCATCAAGACCTCAAGACCAAAACCTCTCGCCACAAGAATAGTTTCTTTCTAATTGCAGTGGGCTTCCTCAACAAGGCCCGGTTCCCAACTGTCACTGACTCTCATGCCCCCCTCCCCAAACACACACACACACACACACACACACTTTACATCAACGTTCAACTGTGCGTTATGCTCATGTTGTGAATTTTTGCATATACCTCTCAGCATTGTAATATAATATTATCGTAATTATTGTACACTTGCACATTTTTTATGTCCTTGCAATTTATATATTTATGTTCATGTGTACTGTAAGCACCAAGGGAAATTCTTCGTATGTAAAAATGTACTTGGCAATAAACCTGATTCTGATTCTTTGACGCAAATTCTTGATTTTATACAGTTTAAATTTTTTGGCTTTGATTCTAACTCCTAAACCTGCTTTCCAATAATTGAATCCTTACATGCTACATTTCACCTGTTTCCAAACCCCATAGTTATTTTACATTGCAGATTTGTTATTTTGCTATCCTCAGCAGTCCACTGAAATTCAGTCATTCTATTTTACTAGAATTTGTATCTTTGCTACTTTGTAGTTTTTGATCATATACTGTAATTTCTGTTTCAGACAGGCACTTATTGTATGTAGAGCTGCAACGATTAATCGATTAGTTGTCGACTATTAAATTAATCTTTAACTATCTGAATGATCGATTAATCAATTTTAGTCATTTTTAGATTTTCTGGTTTCTTTGCCCCTTTTTGACAGAAAAATTTATCTCTTTGGGTTTGAATAAAACAAGACATTTGAAGATGTGATCTTGGGCTATTTTCTGACACTAGACCAAACAACTAATCGATTAATAAAGAAAATCATTGACAGATTTATCCACAATAAACATGAATATCTGTCTATCCTGAATAAAATGTCTGTCCTCTGTTGCTCTAACTGAGGTTTAGCCCATTTCTTGTCATATGATGCACAGATTGTGAAGTCCTCTTGGACAAACTTGAGAATTTAGTATGTAAAAATTAACATGACAATATTACAGTAATACTGTACTCGCATGCAAAAAAAGATCACAAAAGAAGCAGAAGTTAAATGGCAACAAAGCAGTACACCAATAAGTTCAAATCCTCAGACCAGCAAAGACAACCTGGGAAGCATTAGTAAACAAGCAAGTCTGTCCATAAAAACTAGTACTGAGGTGGCATTAAGCCAGTGGTTCTCATACTGGGGAACAGGCACCCCTGGGGGGTCAGGTCATAGTGCCGCAACAGGGTGGGTGGTGATGTTGAGCAGACCTAAAGTTGCATGAATGTGAATCACGTGGTGGCATAAACAAAAAAGGGCTCTGATGCAAGCAAGGCTATTTTGCTAACCTGAATCTTTTTTTGTTTTTTCCAAATTGCCTGTGTTCTCAATGATTGATAAAAATTAAATCTACTTTTACTGGAGTTGGGGGGGCTTGAACTTTTCAGCTTTTTTTCCAGCTTCTAAAGGAGAGGCGTGACAGAAAAAGGTTGATAGCCATGTACATAGTCTCTGTTAGTTCAATAGGAACTGTTCTAGCTAAAAACAGATCAAAACATGGTTCAGTTTAGCTTTCATGAGATCAAAACCGTGTAATAAATCATTAAATTTGTGTACCTCCGTCACCAAGAGTGTGCTTGGGTCAATCACATCCAGGAAGTGCCTGAACCGACCAAGAAATGTGCTCTAAGAGAAGAACAAAACACATCAAACAAACATTATCTTAAATGGCACATTAACTGGGTAAAAAGGCCTGGGTAAAGCATTCAATTTGTTTACTTGGCCATTTATAGCACTCAACAATTATTTTCATCTAAACATAATTACCAGTGAGACCTAAAATATAATATATTAGGTGCAACTTGTGTAATTTTAAAGTTTGCCATTTCACTGGAATACCTGAGTCGGGATGAGAAAGTTCGAAAAATCTTACTTTTTCTTCCTTTATACAGGCAAAATAAATGAGATTTTGCTCAAGTATAGGCAGCTAAATCAGACTCTGGATTGTTTCTTTAAGCAGAGGGAGGCAGCGAGATTCCAGCTGTCATTCAGTAAACAGTGATATTATAGCGTGCCAGCTGTTTTAACACACCAGGTGGAGTATCTGCATTGATGCCGCTGACAAACTGTTTCCTATCTCCATCTTTTAAGGACCCGATTCCAATCACACCATTTGCAATTACTTTCTATAATGACCTTTCCATCATTTATTCATAACTGAGCATAAGGAATCATATCGGAGATCCAGCAGCACACCATGCAGCCTTGAGAGCCACCCATCCCCTCCCTAACTTGGGTTTAATTACACTAACTGCTAATTTGGATGAAAATCTGGTATCTGACTCATTGCTGCACCTTGTAACTTCCTGAACATATGGATGGCTGGTAAAAACACGGCATGGGGGAATAGTTTTTTTAATTCTGTTAAAATTCAATTATTCACCAGTGCAACTCCAGTTTGACCAGTTTGAGCTGACACAGGTAAATAGTGGAAGAGAGGGAACTCATTTTAGCTGTACTCCAAGGCTACCTGCAGTGTCATCTGTGTTACACTGCATTCTGAGACCTGTATTTAAGCTGATAATTATCTTGGCTAATTTGCACATTCAAGTATATTTACCACAGTTAAGCCATGCTTTCACATTTTTAAAAAGAAACTCAGATATTTATGCAAACAATTCTTACTTTCACAATGCAAAAGCTGTAACATCTGAAAAAAGGTATGTAGCTACAACATTTCTTTTATGTAATTTGTACCTGCAATTTGTTATTTTAGGCACTCCAGCATCAAAAGCAGTAGAGACCTAGTTATTCAAATTTTTAATCCCAAACATAGGTTAAACTACTGGATAATACAGTTCCCATGATGCAATTCCTTTTAAGTAGCATTAGAGTGCCTCAATGCCTAAGTGCGTGCTCCACACCTCTAGTTTGTAACGCAGGGTTACTGTTAAAAAATTAAGGCTGAAGCTGGGATTATTTTTGACTTTAGAAACCTCCCTTCAGTTTCACATAAGAAGTTTAACAACTTTTTTCTGTTTGCTGAGAGTTAAATTAAACTTTTTGTGTAATTATATTATACATTATTATTATTATTTTTATTATTATTATTTTTATTATTATTATTATTTATTATTATTATTATTATATGTACAATGTAGAGTGATCCTTTAATACATTTTTTTATATATTCTTATATTTAAATTCATTGCCTCCCTAAAACAGCCCTGTTTTCAGCTTTGTAACAACACATTTTCCAGCTAATCCCATGTTTTTTTTAACAATCTTAAATCTTAAAAGTAGATTGTAACTAAAGCTGCCAAACAAATGTTGTGTAGTAATTTTCCTGAGATGTAGCAGAGTAGAAGTAAAAGTTGCTTCAAATAGAAATACTCAAATTGGTAATAAAGTAGCTACCTCTAATTGGTACTTACTTGAGTAGCTATTAAATGTTCTCGGGTAATTCCAGGACAGACTGACTATGTGTAATGTTATTTACAATAAAAGCTACTGGAAATTTAAACATAATGGACCACTAAATAAGATTCTGACTCAGATAATACTGTATGTTTGTTGAATAAATTCAGTTAAATTGCTAGCAAGCAAAACTGTGGTAGTCACCAGTCCAGCTGACTTCTATTTGTAGAACACCTGTCAACTTGGTCAACCAAAATTTGAGTAAGGTCAAAATTATGTGGTCATTATGTGACCTTTAACCCCGTTCACTGCTGAACTTTCAAATTACAATTGGCCAAGAAACTATAATGTGGACAAAGTGCGAGTTTCTAGAGTTGTAATACTAGTTTGATTCTAAAAATGTAATCCTTTTCTTTTCTCGTGCATGAAATATCACAAACCGCTTGGTCATGAGATGCTACTGGTAAACACATTTTATACTATGGTGACATGGTGACACGGTAAGTGAGAGTTACAGGATACAGCAGAGGCAAACAACCATTAAAAATTAAGTTACCTCTGCTGGGCTTTACACTCAAATATTGAAAGGTCTGTTTATTAAGAGATCACACAGCCAGTTACATGTATGCAGCTGCCTGGTGCTTGAAGTGCACATGCAGTAACGTTCAGACTTTAGTCGATTGAAAAATAAAAGTACCTGGTCGAAACGAGACTTGCCGTGCTGGAATGACGGATATTCAGCCATCCTGCTGCTGTGAAAGCACACAAAGCGATTTTCTTCCCTATGTTGATTTAAAAAACTGCGTCCAACAACATCTTGTAAATACTGGAAGCTTACAGGGCTGAGCGGTCAACTTCTAGCTGTTCAGTGGCCATTTTGCATTAAGGGTAATGTAGTTTTTCCGGGCTGCTTTGCTTGGTCTATCTTTTGGAAGACAGACTACACTTCCCAGGAGCACTGGCTTTGTTTTCACCGTTTTAATAAGGAAGTTAAAACGGGGGTCAGTGTTTTGTGCAAAATTTTGGAGTTTTGTGAGAGTCCTGACATTTTGAGTTGACAGTTGATGGAAGGAAGGTGTTTGAGTTTAAAGTGTATAATATAGCCCCCTAGTGGTGGTTTTAAATTTAAAAAAGTAGACGTTCAAGTGTTGGACAAAAAACATCAACCCCTCTGGCATTCATTACACCACAAACTACAGTCTGAAATATAATGACAGAGTAACAGCTGTTGTAGATTTTAATGATTTATATCTAATGTACATTGATGGCAGGTGTCTGTGTTATTCTACCCATCCCCTTAAGGTGGACAACAACAGCCGTACTAGACATTTCACATGTCAAACAATGTCAAACAATGTCAAACAATGAAGCATTCGGTGCTACATTTCTCCAGCAGAATATGTTTCATGGCAGTGTGGTGAGGGCTTTGAAATAGTATTATGGAATCTGAGTCTAAAACAATTAGAGGTTGCAGCCAGGTTGTATAGGGGGACATGGACCTCAGTGTTTCTAAAATCCTGGCTTCAGACCTGCTTGCGATATTGTTTGTGTCCTATAATAAGATTTTAACTTTATCTATACCAAGGAGTTTAATGAACACAATGCTGACATTAAGCATGACTGAATTTTAATTGATTTTGATTGGCTTTCCTCATTAATCACAGTCAGTATTGTGACAGTTCTGCCTGTGAGAGCATCAGATTCTCTGAGTTAAACACCACTGCAGTGACATACTGTGTATATATATACATGACTTTTAATATGACAAGATAACTTGCTTTTGTATTATTGTCTTCATGAGTGAAATTATCTGAAAGAAAACCAGCTATGAAGCTCTGTAAGGGTTTAATTTTACAGTGCATTAAATTAATTTCTGTTAAGATGTAGCAAACAACATGAATAACATTTAAGACCTAAAACCTGAAGACCGACAAAAGGAGCAAAAACTAGCATCTCCTTTTGTTGTATTATCATTAAAATGTTTCGTACATCTCTCCTTGCTATTAAAAATGAACAAATCCTGGTATTTTACCAACTTGGAACCCAATAAAAACAGAAAACCCTAAATGTAAACATAAAAACCCACTCTAAATAAAGAATTACCAAAATCAGTCCTGTGAAAAAACACAAACATACCCCAAAGAAAGATTTACAACCAAACATACGGTGAGCAAGAAACACAAAATATTCTTTATTAAATATACAAAATTTGTGAAACAGAATTGCATCACGAATTGTAAACTTTCCAATCTTGCACACTACCTTAAGCACATTCCACCAGCTACACAATCAAGGACAAAATATAAATCAATTTAAACTTAAATAAAAACTTTTAAAATGGAAGACATGGAGGAGGACGTTTATTCTTCGTAAGTGCAGAGTCACATTTAATATGTCTCTACAGTCATCTATGCATTTGATATTGCGATCGCACAGCAGAACTGAGATGACAAGACAGTTTGGGATGTTTTTGTATGCTTCAAGCTCACTAGAAAAATCAAGTTTGTGGTGTCAACGTAGGCCAAGTGCTTAAATCACAGAGCAATTAGAAAGTGCAGTACGGTGTAAAGTAGATCTAACTATACCGATATCAATAGACAGGTACAGCAGAGTTATGTTCTGATGATTAAGTAGTGCAAGGACATCCACAAATGCTGTTAAAAGTGGCATCATATCAGAATTCTTTATGGTGTATCAATCTGCTAGATTAAGTTCCAAGGCTTTTTTTATTTGGCATTTCACAGGAAATCACTGCTCATTTTCTATTGTTATGCATACAGTTTTTATTTTTGTGCAGTGATCTAAACAATAAAATATATATCACAACAAAGCATGAAAAGAAGTATAAAAAAAGCTCAGTGAACAGATGGCTTTTTTTTTTAAAACCTGCCTGGACAAGTAAAATGAGGTGCTGAATTCTTAATGTAAAAATAAAACAAAAATAAGGCAGCATTTGGCATTTCAATACGGCATATATGCTGTAAAATGCTGTATATATCCCTTTGTAACACCTGAAAGCAGTAGCGTTATGCGTGCTAGAGTGGAAGCAGATGTTACACGCAGACACTGAGGGAGGGGAGTCAAGTACCAGCATGTCGCAGGCATTTTCTCAACAGTGGAGTCGTGTTGATAACACACTCGTGGGAAGGCAGAGAAGCTGAGATGGCTGATCTTGATACAGACTGGATACTGAGTGATACTGTCTTCACCTGATAACACTGTGACCCATACAAGAATCAGTTAGCTTATTAGGCTGAGCATTATGGGTACACTTCCAAGACATGCCCATTGAACAGAAAGAGAAAAAAAGTGTGGGGGAGAGAAGGAACAAGCAAAAGATAAACAGCACTTGCCATGTGTAGAAAATAAAACCATTCACTTGCTGGCTAAGAACACTTTTGAACATTCGTAAGCTACAATCAGTTCCCAGTAACGTGCACGTTACATGGCTGAACTCTCACTCCGCTTGTTTGGTTTGTATTTTCAAAAACTAGTCAGAGCACTCGAAATTTATAAGGGAACATTTGTAGAGTGTCAATCCAAAACAAGTTATACACTATCTGAAAAAAAGTGATGCCAATCAGAGGTGTAGGTCATTACAGAAGTACATTACTGTAAACATACAGGCAGTTTTGCATGAATTTACCTCATTAACCAAATATTGTTTATACTTACGCAGACTATTTTCCATTGCATACTTGAATATTATGGATTTATTTTCTTCCAAGCAGCCACTAGTTTTAGTTCATTACAGTGAAAGGAATAGTTCCACATTTAGGGAAATATACTTATTTGTCTTCTAGCCAAGAGTTCGATGAGAAGATTGACACCTCTCTCACACCTTGTGAGCGCAATGCTTTCTGGCAACTGAATCTTACATCTTGTATAACAGAGCGTTTTTGTTTTGAGAAGGGTCCCTGCTCTCAACTGCAACTACAAAATAAAAACAAAGGCGTCAAAATGTTGTCTTTGTCTTCAGCGGGTTTCAAGTAGATTCTCATGCTGCACTGTTAATGAACTGGCTGCCTTGAAGGTATAAAATGAAAATCAATCTAAACTTGATGGTCAGCACTGATTTAAAGTATTAAACTATTTGTAGTTAATGGGCCAAAACGTGCAAAACCACCAGTGTGGCCCTTCATTTTGTTAGCTCCCCTCTCCCTACAGAACCTTGTATATCTTTGAAAATGTATGTGAGGAGTTAGTTGGATATACAGTGTTATGGACTGAAACTCTACAATTTCTGTCTTTTTTGATAAGGTGACAAAAGTGACAGGTGAGGTGAAAACGAGGAATCAATGTTTCTACAATCAGGATCCCAAAATGGAGGCATCTGGGCATCTTGAACACACTGGGCTCCCCCTGTGAACTTAAACCCAACTGGCTGTGTGAACCTGAAAACAACCTGAGGACTCTCTACATTCAGAACCACCTGAACCAAACCCTTCGACAAGGACGCGTTTCAGCACAGTAAAGCATGCCGTCTGGAAAACATCGCCTCAACATCTCTCAGTGCCTAGATATTTGTATCAAAAAGGACAGCATAGCAGTGAAAAGACTAAAGAGCTGTTGTGGAGGTTAGAGTGAACAGATGCGGACTGAACTGCAAACCCTTTTCCCCCCTTTGTCACTTTAACTTGGAGCGCACTTGCAGGAGAGTGGGCTTCTGCTCCATGATGCGCACCAGCAGCGTGTCAATGTAGTCCTCCAGATCTTTGACCTGCGGCTTCAACTTCTTCAGCTCCACCTCCCGCTTGGCCAGCAAACATTTCTGACGCTCAAACTCTGCCTTCTGCCTCTCCAGGTCCACCTCCCGCTGCACCAACAGGGCGACCAGTTCACTGTGGGTCAGGTGATAGTACGAGCCAGCTCCTTCTGTCAGAGACTGAAGACGGAGGAAGAAGAAAGTGTAACAAAGATAAGAACAGTTTGATGTATTTTCACTGGACTTCCTGTTGATTAAAATGAGTTTCCGAATATGCAGCCCTTTGTTCAGCCGTACGGATGGTCATGCTAACTTCTGCATCGCTGCTCCTGTTTATTACTTTAAAAGAGAACAGTGTCATCTATAAATTAGTACAGGTCATATAATTAGAATATCATCAAAAAGTTGATTTATTTCAGTAATTCCATTCAAAAAGTGAAACTTGTATAATGTATACATTCATTCCACACAGACAGATATATTTCAAGTGTTCATTCCTTTTAATTTTGATGATTATATCTGACAACTAATGAAAACCCCAAAATCAATATCTCAGAAAATTTGAATATTGTGAAAAGGTTCAATATTGAAGACACCTGGTGCCACACTCTAATCAGCTAATTACCTCAAAACACCTGCAAAGGCCTTTAAATGGTCTCTCAGTCTAGTTCTGTAGGCTACACAATCATGGGGAAGACTGCTGACTTGACAGCTGTCCAAAAGACGACCATTGACACCTTGCACAAGGAGGGAAAGACACAACAGGTCATTGCTAAAGAGGCTGGCTGTTCACAGAGCTCTGTATCTAAGCACATTAATAGAGAGGCGAAGGGAAGTAAAAGATGTGGTAGAAAAAAGTGTTCAAGCAATAGGGATAACCGCACCCTGGAGAGGATTGTGAAACAAAACCAATTCAAAAATGTGGGGGAGATTCACAAAGAGTGTACTGCCGCTGGAGTCAGTGCTTCAAGAACCACCACGCACAGACGTATGCAAGACATGGGTTTCAGCTGTCGCATTCCTTGTGTCAAGCCACTCTTGAACAAGACACAGCGTCAGAAGCGTCTCGCCTGGGCTAAAGACAAAAAGGACTGGACTGCTGCTGAGTGGTCCAAAGTTATGTTCTCTGATAAAGTAAATTTTGCATTTCCTTTGGAAATCAAGGTCCCAGAGTCTGGAGGAAGAGAGGAGAGGCACAGAATCCACGTTGCTTGAAGTCCAGTGTAAAGTTTCCACAGTCAGTGATGGTTTGGGGTGCCATGCCATCTGCTGGTGTTGGTCCACTGTGTTTTCTAAGGTCCAAGGCCAACGCAGCTGTCTCCCAGGAAGTTTTAGAGCACTTCATGCTTCCTGCTGCTGACCAACTTTATGAGGATGCAGATTTCATTTTCCAACAGGAGTTGGCACCTGCACACAGTGCCAAAGCTACCAGTACCTGGTTTAAGGACCATGGTATCCCTGTTCTTAATTGTCCAGCAAACTCGCCTGACCTTAACCCTACAGACAATCTATGGGGTATTGTGAAGAGGAAGATGCGATACGCCAGACCCAACAATGCAGAAGAGCTGAAGGCCCCTATCAGACCAACCTGGGCTCTCATAACACCTGAGCAGTGCCACAGACTGAATTCAGGCAAAAGGAGCCCCAACTAAGTATTGAGTGCTGTACATGCTCATACTTTTCATGTTCATACTTTTCAGCTGGTCAACATTTCTAAAAATCCTTTTTTTGTATTGGTCTTAAGTAATATTCTAATTTTCGGAGATACTGAATTTGGGATTTTCATTAGTTGTCAGTTTTAATCATCACAATTAAATGAAATAAACATTTACAATACATCAGTCTGTGTGTAATGAATGAATATAATATCCAAGTTTCACTTTTTGAATGGAATTACTGAAATAAATATTTTTTTTTGATAATTTTCTAATTATATGGCCAGCACCTGTATTTAGATAATGTCATTGAATTATGTAAAAAAAAAAAAAAAAACAATACCCAAGATACAGAATTTTAATAGGTTTTTCCATTGTTTTCCAAGTCACCTGTCAGTTCTTCAAAAATCCACAATAATGAACAAAATCTCATCACTCTTGAGTTACTTAATGTAGTGTCCTCTAACATCATCACTGAACGAAAAAATGGCGATATCCATAACTTCAAGTAATTATGAAGACAGAATTTTTTAATTATAAGAAATGATTTGTTCGCTATGGCTGATTTTTCTTTACACTAGTGGTTTTATCAGCAACTATAAGTTATTACATGTTCGCCTATTTTCTTTTACTCCCCTATTGTTGCCAGTTTGCAACATTTGTTAAACTTATTGCTGCTTAATTTAGTTTTTATTATCATTATTGTTGTGCCAACAAGCAGGAGCTGTGTAGGTACAGAAACTGAGAAAAACGACTTATTTTTTTAAGTGAACCAGTTACGTTGATTACCAGAACGATAATGTAATTTACATTTACAGGTTCAAATATCATCTAAAATACAATTCATGATCATTAATCCTAAAAATACAGGCACATAGTTACTGTACCTTCTTCCTGTCTGTCTCCTGCTCGCTGAGCTGGCTGCTCCTCCCCGGGTGGATGGTGGACTTGAGCTTCTCCAGGCCGGTGGCCAGCACTGACCGGCCCTCAGTCCGCTTCTCTTCAGCCAGCATGGCAGTGGTCAGGGGCTTCACTGGGTGGGGGCTGGACAGGATGAAACAAGCAGCACACACGTAGAGTCAGGTATCCCACTTCATACGACAACATCCCTGCGGCTTTTTAGTTTTATTTAGAAAACCTTCAGGTGATATAAAGAATCCATCTGGCTGTCATACTGGAGGTCTGAAAGTATGTGTCTGAAATGATCATATAAAGTTAATTTGACCCAAAGGACTTTTTCTTCCACTGTTTTTAGAACTTAGTACTAGAGGGGGATGGGTTGTGTGTGTGATTTTCAGAGTAAAGTCCTTGAATTCTTGGCCACTTGCTTGTGGCTGCGGGTGATACTCAAGGCTAATTTTAATGAATGCAGAATATAATATTTTAATACTTTTATGTTTTACTGACATTCAGTGTTTTCCGCATTCTAATGTTATTCTCATGATGTTTTACAATAAACCACGAGTGTCATCTACAGTTAACCATCAAACTACTGTACATGCATTTTTGTTGTTAATTAGACTCAAACTCTTCTGTTAGCTGTTTAGAGCAGAGATTTCCAACCTTGGGCTCGGCAACCTTCAAAGGACACCGAGATAAATCTGAGCAGTCTCAAGATGATTAAAGGGAATGAATGAAGAAAAATTATTTTTTTGTAACACAAATCTTTATTAACTTTGTCTGACTTTCTCAAATGTCTTTCTTGTGAAATACTGGATTCTTTCACTTCATCAGGCATCAACGAATAACTATTTAGTTCAAATGAATAATCTACATAACTTGTTGTGAGGGGTCACAAGCTAACATTACTTTATTTTACAGGGGTCACCTGCTGACATAATTACAACTGAGCATTTTTTGTGAAATCACACACAACACAACCCGAGTTTCCTCTGGGAAATTTTAATTTGAAGGCAGACAAAAGAAATACAAGTATCACAACATTCAAAAATGATCTTTTTTAGGCAATTACGTTTGTTTATTTGGCATTTCTTATATATGTATCTTCTTAAAGCACAACTCGAAAATAACACAGGAAAAACTATTTCCTGTGTCAGTGACCTACATTTATCGATTTTATCAGACCACTCGCTTACTTACTGCAGATACTTCCATTCACATAACCTCAATATTTGTCACATAAATCTTTCTTCACCCCAAGGTTTACCCATTATTTGAGCACAACAGATTGTCCTCATGACCTCCAGGATGACGCCAGACGTGGGTGCTAAAGATCAACCTTTTTCAGAAACTCCTCATTTTAGTGATCAAGAGTAAAAGAGGTTAGACATGTCCAAGACTCATTAAAGAAAATACTGGTGCAAATTGAAATTAAATGAGCTCAAAACTGAAAGACTTAATTGCATGCATTGGTGCAATCAAACATGTAGAGTTGAGTTAATGTGTTAATACCCCAAGGTGGAAAGGAAATGCTATCAGAGACACAACAACACCTTTTGTGCCTGGTATGAAGGCTGGTTTCTGGTTGACATTTTGGTAAATAATTGAGGCTGGGTGAGAACACTAGCTAGCCGTATGGGGAGGGGTGATGGTGTATGTGTGTGTGTGCGTAGGGTGTATGTTGGGAAGGAGGGGGTGTGCGGTAGGAATGAGGGCAAAATTATAACTGCTAATTGGCCTGAAGCTCTGTTTCCCCTCCCGTTACCACAGAGCCAGGACACACACAAGACACCTGCAGAGGAGTCCTGTTAACACCAGTATATATGTGTGTGTGTGTGTGTGTGTGTGTGTGTGTGTGTGTGTGTGTGTGTGTGAAAACGTGAAGGTCACACCACAAAGTAGAAACCCCTTGATAGTCAGCAGCACAGAAGAAAAGCAGGCGGAAGCAGAGTGGCAGAGGGAGACCGAAGAGACGACAGGGAAATTTCTGGAAGTGGGAAAAAGAGCTTCCTCTCCACCTTTTCACCGAGCGTAGAGCATATGCAACCTCACCTGTTCTGCTGATTGGCTGCCTGCTGCTGCTGGGGCTCCTGAAGAATTTGCTTTGGCGCCGCAGCTCGTGCCTTGTTGGGTGGTGACCTCGGCATAGCATTGGCAAGGGGAGGGAGGGAACAGAGCGCTACAGGGGAGCTACTACTGTCAGGAGTTAGATAGGAAGCAAAGGAGGTCAGAGAGGGGAGTTCAGGGCCAGGCTGAGCTGAAGAGGACTCCTGTATCGCACCAGGATCACTCCCAAAAGAGGACAGGAGGAGTTCGTCAACAGCAGGTGTCAGTGTGCCTTCAGAGTGGGAGCGGTGTAGTGTAGCCTTTGGTGCCTGAGGGCATTTCGAGAACACGTCACCTAAGATGACATGCTGAACTTCCACACCTCCTTCAGTGAGCTTCCTTGGATTACAACTTACATAAGAGTCTGAGGATACCATAGGGAGTAAACCAAAGTCAACCCCTATCATGATACCTGGCTCTAGAGTTCCTCCACAGAGAGACTCTTTAAATTGGTCTGTTTGGTTGTTTCCTTTGTTGTATGTCTTGCATGCATTGGTGGAATCTTCTTGGCCCAACGCAGCATCAGCAGTCGTCTGAATCCCACTCAGCTCACTACAGAGCTTTGAATTTGCAGAGTGTAACGTCTTATTTGGCTCTGAGCCGCTACATTTGGAGGATTGGTGAGACTCACAGGTTTGGTAATCCTGCGAGTCGGTACTTACATAAAGACTGTGGAGAAAGCTGCTGGTGCTCTGATTAGACGCCCGAGTGTGCAACAGTGTGTCTTCAAAGTCTTGGCTAAGACTGCTTGCAATGTGACTGGTGTTGAGGAAATTATCAAAAGGCCTGAAGGGTATAGGCAAACGCTGGCTCATATCCTGCCCTGTTAAACTACCGCTCTGAATGGGCGAGTCCGATGAACTCTGCCTCACCTCAGGGGAGGAAGTTGTGATGTATAATGATGGGTGTGTGGAGCAGAGTTCATCATCTGAAGTCATCACATCTGTAGTGTTACTTCCGGATGTAGAGAAATCATTTAACACTTGTGAAATGCTTTTCTTTCTATTTTCATTGTCAGACTTTAAAGAAACGTTGGATTTTGGCTTTAGTTCTGAGAGTTTTGGTGCCTGAGTAACTGCATCCTCAGGTCCTGTCTCTCTTGCAGCAATTTCAGGCTGCTGATGTGCAAGCACTGGGGACTGTGGTGCCAATGACCCCTCCAAACCATTTAAATCTACCTTTTCATCGCCATCCCTGTACTGAATAACACAGTGCTGCGTTGCATCAACTGAAGACAAATCATTTGGCGTCTCGGTAATGTCATTTTCAGATTCTGAGGGCTTTAAAGGTGTTATCACAGCTGACTCAGAGGACTTCTCAAAGCCAAGGATGTTGCTTTCAAAGTTCTGTGCTTCAGCTTCCTCAGAGGAGGATGCAGAGAATTTTTCCGAATAAGAAGAGAGACAGGAGAGGAAATCCTCTTCTGCTGAACTCCCGAGACCCGAAGAACCAGGATCAGAGGAGCTGCTGTTGAGCTTTACAAATGAGGTGTGACAGGGGGCTTGATGCATATTAGTGTCGATTAAATCTTTTGTATTAGCAGTACTGTTAGCTTGATTAGTTTCAGTGCAAGCAGCCAGTTTTGGAGAATTAGTGTGATTCTTTAAAGTTATGTTGTCACCCTCAAAGCTTGTGTGCTCTGGTATCGTCTCAAGGAGTTGTGCAAATGTGTCAAAGTGATATGTATTAGTGTTGGTCACCTGGATGATGGCTTTATGTGCTTCGGATACAAATCCTGTGCAAAGCTGATGATGTAGTGTATCATTCACATTTGTGTTTTGATCACCATCTGTTACGGGTAATAATGTTTCTTTATTAATGCAGTGTTCCAGTGGATGGTCACCGGGTGTGTTTTGCTGTGTTTTGCAATCTGTGGTCAGATCCTCAGGAGACTGCAGCCTACCAGCTGCAAATGCTTCAAAGGATTCATCCCACTCTGAATCCGGTTCCATCTCCCCAGCTGACATAAAAGGGTTGGAAAACTTCTCACTTAAAGGTTTATCCCCTTCCGTGGAAGCTGGAGAAAGACTTTGTTTCTTATCTTTGGCCATCAATTCGCTCTTTGGGTCTATACCAATAATGCAGTCCTCTGTGGTTGGATTGTTGCGAGCCAGGTTGGGGTTAGGGTTACTTGCCTGTGGAAAGAGTTGAGCTATGGGGGGCCGGGAACTGGAGAGATAGGGCAAAGGAGGCAGTGAAGGTTTTAGGGGCTGAGCGGTTAGCATGTCTTTATAGAAAGGGTTGTGCTGGAGGAGAGAGAAGAAAGGGTTGCAGCGGGATATGGGAGGTGATGTGGTCTGTGAGTGGCAGAAGGGGTTAGTGTGATGCAGTGGAGACACCAGAGAGCCAGGATCTACAGAGGGACCTGAAAGGGGGTGACTAGTTGTGAGGGGTGGTGGGTGGGGGTTAATGCTGGGCTCTAGTTTAGGTGACACCACCAGGCTGTGAAAGGAAGGGCACACAGTCCTCTTGATTAGTGAGGATTGTTCACACAGCTGAACTACAGGCCTGCAGAAAGTTTTCTGTCAGAATCACATCTTAAGCATACATTTTTACAGACGGGTTAGTGTTTTACCCAATTTATATAGAGTATAGAGAATTTTAATATAGAGTCCTTCTTTAATTTCTTAAACCCTGTTTAACTTTAGGCCTTGTAGGTTTTTTTGCTCTTATTGAAGTTTTCTTTATTGTTGCTTCATTGTATGGAAAACACATTTAAACCTGTTGTAACTGAATTTTGTGGTCTTAACAGTGACATTTTATCACCCTTTATAGTGAACATGATAGCAAAGAGTTAGCAGTTCACATATCCAGTAGGCACGGAGCAACATTAGCGTTCATTTGGTGTTTCTTCAGCCTGATATATTCACTACATTCTGCAATATTCACCCTTCTTATAGCTCTATTTTCTCTACCAATTCACTGAGGAAGTATTTGTCTTTAACTGCTAAATGCTTCACTATATTTCCCTAGCTATTCTGTTTGTCTGTCTGCTGTTTGGTGCTGGACAGGAAGTGTACAGTGGATTTTTAAAGTCTTCTTTGCTGAACACGGCTTTGATGAGAGCAGGGAGCCTGAACCAAAACAATGAGCTAAAAGATGCTAAAGTGCTCCGTAGAGCTTTCACATTACAGGCTAGTCAATTAATCCATTGTTAATATACACTATTGATTAGTGCAGCTTTAGAACACACTTATAGTGGCAGCCTGGCAAAAAGCAAAGCCTAGGGGTAGGGGCTAATACCCTCCACAGATTCAGCCTGGAGTTACTGAGATACACTAATACACACTTAAACTGCATACATTTTACACAAGTTTTTCTGTCAGAATAATTGTAAAAAATCCAATGAAAGTTCTACACATAGGGGCTTTAACAGTAACTGCTATGCAAAAGGTAACAATTAAAATTGTTGAAATCAATGTTTTCATATGTTTAAAAACTGGCACCTATCCACATCTAACAAAGGTGATGCAGCTGGGTGTAGTGATTACTTAGTGCTACTGGTGCCAACTTGGCACTTTTCCCCAAGGAGCTAAAATCATGTGGGTGTGTAGGCCGTGAAAATGTATAGTTACAAAGTTGGCAGAAAGGCACTGAGTGTACTACAGTCCAGAATAGCTGACCTCACTTCAACCAGCAGGTGCTTATCAGTCTAATATTTTGTTTACGTCAGTGTATAGTAATATTACTATATCGTACTCGTTTTTTAGTCTTGGTCAAGCAAATTGATAAAAATGAACATTAAAAGTAACTGTTTAAGGGTTCTTGTAGACCTGTATTAAAGATCAATTTTATATAAAGACTCCAATACAAACTGCAGGAGCAATGCACTCAATACAACAGGGAGCGGCAGTACAAGAGAAAGCACAGTGCATCAGGTGACACCCCCCAAATAAATTACCCACTTAAGAATGTGCTTGTGTTAGAAGTGGAAATACAATTAGATGGGGTTTCTTGCCTCCCATCTCCCTGCCCACATACACACATTACAAATGCAGACAAATCCCACACCTACAAATGCACATTCATATATACACAAAACCTGTAAAAGAACGAGGAATGTTCCAGCTCACATCATCATCTTTCCAATGATGATTATAACTGGACCATATTATAGGGTTCAGTGTGACAGAGTTAATTTCACAACAGCAGCTCCCCTCCTCCATCTGCATTGCAGATACCTGCTGTAACCAGAGACTGAGACCAGGAGCTGAGGAGGGATGTGTACAGAGCTAGAAGGAACTTCAAGCAGCCATGCTGATACACAGTATGGTAAGTGAAAAGTAAACATCTACTATGATTGTATTCAACAAAATGCTGCTTCAATATAGATATTGAAATGTAACCCCCTTTAATGGGTACATTTTATGCATTTACTTCAATTTAAGCTTCGTAAGGTTTACTGTTGAACTCTGGAGGTTTTATGTAAAGAATATGTGTTGTGTACCAAATAGTGAGATATCATGTAACCAATAAAGTAAATCCTACACTTTAAAGGTATATTTCAACACATTTTTTGAGAGTGTAGATATGAGAAGATCGATTGTTTGAAGCTGGAACTAGAGGTAGGAGGCAATTAATTTACTAGATTAACAACTAGCTTGGCTTTGTCCAAAGTTCAAAAATATGCCTACCAATTGCAAACTCAATAACATGTTGTATCTCATTTGTTTAATCCGTTTTTTAAACTAACAAAATACATGCCAGTTACTGAGATCTAGACCTGTTGGTAGGCATATTTTCCAACTTTTGACAAAGCCACGCTACCTATTTTCCTTGTCCATTTGTCCTTTATGCTATGCTAAGCTAAGATATTCACCTACTGACTCCAGCTCTATCCATAATGCACAGATAGCCATGACAGTGGTACTGATCTTGTCATCTAACTCTCATAATTAAAGTAAATAAGCATATTTCCAAAACTAGTTCTTCAAAGTTAATTAGGTTAAATTACGAGACTGTGTCACTGAGGTGATGGAATAAATTTTACAGCAAGTTTTGTGGCTCTTTGTAGTTTGCAAAGTTGACGTTGTATTGGATTACATTATAGCATAGGCAATTTCTAATTTTATAAGGCTTATTCAAATACAAATTTCTTGAACTTTTTAATTATGAGTATTAAAGTTAAATAAAATAATAATTTTTTATATTTTTTTAATATCTCTGAATGTCACACTGTTTGCCTGCCTGCCTTGTTTAGTTCTGTTTTGTTATTTCAGTCTTTTCTGTATCTGTTATGTAGTCTATGTTGTTGTTTGTCTGGTTATTATCTGTTAGCTGGTGTTTAGTGGTGTTTTGGTATTTTCCTGATCTCAGTTCTGTTCCAGTCTCATGTATTAGTTTCTGTACCATCATGCAATTAATCTGATTTTGATCATTCTGCCTTAGTCTCTGTGTAGCCCTGTGTATTTTTAAGTTACTTAGTATCTGTCTTGTCTCGTATCTTAGTTCCTAGTTCGGTGTCTTAGTTCTTAGTCCTGTACCTTAGTTCATGTCTTAAGTATTCACTCATGGTCTGTGTACTTCTGTGTTTTGCCCATGTCTAATCTGAGTTCTGTTTTATCTTTTCTTTAGTCTGTCTTCTTTGTTGTTAGTGTATTAGTGATCTGTCTGCTTGTGTCTGGATTAGTTTGTTGCTTTTATTATTCTGATATGTTACCACTTACTTTGATATGGTCCATGTTTAGTGTTCAGCAACTTGTGTTATGTCTGTTCCCCCTCCAGTAATCTGCCTGCCAGCCAGTCTCTCTGTTTTCCCCTTCTGTCTCTCTGCCTGCCCTGTTTAGTCCTGATACCTGTCACCTGTGTTGCTCCCACCCTGCTCGTTAGCCCCTGTGTATATATGTTTGGTGTTTCTCTTCAGTCCCCGTCTGGTCATTGTCATGTGTCCTGCCTGTTCTTGGAACTACCTGTTCATCATTTTGGATGTACCTGTCTCCACAACTTGTAAGCTTTATTGCTTGTTTTTCAGTTCGGATTAAAATCCTGAACTTGACGTCAGCTTTCTAGTGTCTTGCGTTTGGGCTCTCTCCTATGTGCACGCATCAGCATCCTAACACTGAATCTAGTTTAGTTTTCTGTTTTAAGCTAAAATAGCAGCCTACATTAAATACAGTGTTTCATGCTCTTATTTTTGCCAAATGAAACCAAAGTATACAGGTCATACGCAATAAGACGCCTCGGTCTGTGACTTATGACGCAGACTTATGACGCAGGGCAATCTAAACAATACAGGTACAAACTCTCAGCAGGCTCCTGGGAGGTTTTTGACCTTGATTCAATCCATATTCATATTGAAATGATAATTCATCATCTGTGTGATGTTGCAACAAATGAACCTGTCAGTGCGTGATTAGTCTTCTCTGTGATCACAGTGTGTATCTCACCTGGGTTTGCTGTGCGAGTCCTTTGATCCAAACCACCCCTTGTGTTTCTCCTCAGTGGCAGCGGAGGCTTGTTCAGACTCATCCTTGGACTGATTCTGCCCTTTCCCTGCAGACTCACTCCTCCCATGGGAGAACAAGTTCCTCCTCTGCTTTTTCCCCCAGCTTTCTGACTCTGCCGTGGAGGAGGAGCCAGCTTTGGGCAAAGCAACCTGTCCCAACCACTCCTCTTCTTGACACAGCATTGGGCCGCTTTGCTCCAAGGCCGCCACTATGGCTGCCTTCTCCTCCTCGTCAGGCTTGTCAAAAGACCAGCGGCGGCCATCACCAACAGGACTTTTGAGGAGGTCTGTGGATGGCCGCAGACTGACGTTCTGTAGAGACATGGACAGGGGCATAGACTTCTGCAACACTCCCAGGCCTAAAGAATTTGCAGGTTTTCCTGAGCCTGGGTCCAGGGGCTGGACTTTGTAAGCATGGCTTCCATTAACGCACACAGTGGGCTGAGGCACTGCGATGGTGATCTCACCGGCCTCATCACCAAACTCACATTTGAGAGAAGACGACCTAGGTGACGTGTTTGCCGTGTGCTCTGCAAAAACAAGAGGTGTAAAGTGAGAAAATGGATGCAGTTAATCAATGACTTTACTAAATAAAATTTACATTTAGCTTATTGGGTGATTAATCAATTAATTTTTATTGAAATTTTTTTATCCCCACGGCCGGAATCAGGACAGTCCCTTGTGATGTAGTATCTCATTTTCAAGACAGAAACACAAAATACAACAAACACAAACAAAAACAGCATTACATAACATAGACTGTAAATACAGAGATCCAGACAGCTCACTCGCCCACTATTGTTTCAAGTTTGCAAATACATTTCTAACTTTGAGACAATCTGCTAAAAAACAGAAAGAGGTGAAACCATAAACTTTCATTAATTAAAAGAAAAAAATGTATTTATTATTATTTAAATACTTAGTATTTGTGGCATCTTCAGTTTTTATATTTGGCACTCCTGTAGCACATACAAGCCACAAAGTACTTGCTGCTGTTCTCAAAACCTGAGTGAGCTAGCAGCTGTTTCTTAAAGAATTTTGAGGAAGTGGTTTATTTAGAAATATTTTACATAAATCACCCTGTCTACATGCTCCTGCAAGTTCTGCAATAGACATTTATAGTAGCAGTAGTAGTAGTAGCAGCAGTAGTAGATTAAAACCAATTTTGGCATAAAGCAATAATTTTGATAATGGATTAAGTTTTTTTTCAAGCAAAAACATTGAAAAAATGCCCAACATGCTCTGGTTCCAGACTCTCAAATGAGACAATTTGCTGCTTTATTTTGTTGTATACCGTCAAACTGAATTTCTTAGGGTTTTTGTCAAAACAAGATATTTTAAAACTTTATTTTAAATCACCTTAAACTCAAAGTTGCAATGGGCACTATTATTTGACATTATTTGGAGTAATTGATTGAAATATAATTAATAATAAAAATGATTGGCAGATTAATAAATGAAAATAACCGTTAGTTGCAGCCCTAGTTTGTTTTTGTTTGTTATTGTTGTAAAAGATTGCAGGGTTGTCCCACAAGAGGGGAAACCTGAACCTGCACGTGGTGATGGATGACTGTGAATGTGCAGTGACTGTAATAGTCAAATAATCTTCAGTAAGAGATAACTTGGCCTCTCACCTGGGCTGTTATCGACTGTCAGGTTGCTGCTGTTACTAGGTGAGTTGGAGAGGTCAGAGACCACCACACTGATGCCGGCCGTGGGGCTCAGGCTCCCACCCCGTGATGATGACTCGCTGCTCTCCGAGCCTAGTGATGTGCTGGAACGAGTGTCTGATGACTTCCTCAGCTTCCCTCTCAGGAAGAATGTCCTCATCTTGCTCCGCCGGGCCTCGCCCCCCTCGTCATCCTCGTAATCCTCCTCCCCACCCCCATCGCTCGGCAGCCGTTGCCGCATCCGGACAAGGGACCCGTAACCACTTGGTAAAACGGCAGACGACGAGTCCTCCTCATTGGATCTCTTCTTCCCCCTTATGCGCTCTTTCAGCTTTCCGAAGGTGGAGGCGCCCTTGTCCTTCATGACGAGGTCATACATGCTGGCTGTCAGGTTGTTTCGGGTGAACTGGACACTGACTTGAATGTCTCCTCGTTCCTTCTCTTTCTTCCCCGTCTTAGAGTTGAGCCTGTACCACCTGCAATAGACAAAAATCCATTCACATGAGATTAATAGACACACTCTGTATATCTGTATATTGTTTAGACGTGAAACAAGTAGTCATTTAATCTATTAGTGGGTCATTTGAAGTCATTTAACAAGCAAAAATGCAGAAAATGGTTCCAGCTCCTTAAAGGTACAATGTGTAATTCCTGGCCATATCCTGAAGGGCCAGCATAAGATAGAAAATTATTATTTGAACTTTGAATCATGCAAAGCTGCTAACAGGGGTCACAGAACTGCAATATAGGATTGAAAATGCAATATAATAGGTCTCCTATAAGTATATTGTTATTTTATAGCCTAAATTAATTAATCAATTAATCAAAAACAGCAACACATTTATCGCTAATGAGAATCGTAGGCTGATATCAAATTTCTAATAATTGAATTGGGCTTTTGTACAAGTGCTTGCCCTGAAGAGAGTTGCGGAGGAGCTATTTTGGGTGGACCTTGCTTCAGAAGTAAAAGTCCCATAGACAGCGTGAGGTGACTCACATTTAGAGCACTTCCATGACTTGGGCCGCTCTACAGGCTGATTTATAAGTAAAAAAGATTAACAACTGTGTTAGAAAATATCATAGATAGTCAAGGTTGAGAAAACACAAATCAGCAGCAATTCAGTTTAAACTTCTGCGTCAATTTCAATCAATCGTTAAGAATCTATGCCCCATGTTTTGTTCTCAACTGCACCAACAAAGTGTTTTGAATTCACTACCACCCTAATTCGCTCCTCTTTAGTGGCTTCTTCTCCATGGCAAATGTGGCCGAAGCTCATGGGTAATGTAGTATTTACACTTGTATGCCATGCCAAATGACAGACAAAACATGATTTCTCAGAAACTAAGCTCAAATTGTTAAAAAAGGTGAAAATAACCTACAGGATGGTTACATTATCCAGGGAGTCCAGTGTGTCTATGTTAAGTAACACTATGCATATAATTAAAAGAAAAACATGTATGGGAATAAAGAATGGGGGAAAACACACAAAACCAGCAATCTCGCCCACTTCATTAATCCATTATGATAAAATGTACTGACACATTAAATCCTTCAGCGTAATATTTGTTTAATAATAACTGAGTAAGTGTGAAAAGTCTGATTTTGAAAACATACCAGCATGCTTTGTTGAGTTTAAGATTCAGAGAGTGAAAATAGTACAAAATAATTGTAAGGTGTACTGAAATCACATCCCTAACACTTCATTCATTAAAAGGTTCAGCATTGAGTGGGGTCATGAAATTATGTGAATGACCATATTGTTATTGTGAATGGGGTTAATCTGTCCTCACACAGGGTAGAGTGTGTGACAGTGTATGTGTCCTACTAATACCACACCCCACAATACCTTGGGATGGTCTTGTTTGGTCACCAAGTCTGGTAAGCAAGAACAATGAAGTAAGTAAAACAATGATTATTTCTGAGTTAATAGTGAGTGCCGTACATACATATAAGAGATCCTGACTGAAAAAACAGATTGACCCAACCATAGATTTCTTTACTGGATGAGCAAAGAAGAGCAGTTCTTAGAAACTCTGTGTACAGGTGGGTGTTACAGCGCCAACAAGTTCACCACACCATGACTCATGGGAAAGTCTCATCTGTTCTGTTGTGACCGGTTTAAAAATATTATATGACCGAGAAAAATTCCCCCGGTTAACATGTGTTTCTGACAATTGATGTTGCCAAAGGGAAGTTATCAACCTAGGGAGGACGACGACTAGGTCTGAAACCAAGACTCACTTCCTGTGCTGCCGGGCTATTTTCACCTCACACCTCGACCACAGTGCCCTTTTCTATTGTTCATAAAGGCTAAAAGCACTATAAGGCTGAGTGACGCATTACAGCTCAAATTTTACAATAATTTTCTGAATTTTATATAATTCTATGTATAGGTTAAACTGACTTCAAATTCAAGGATTAGTTGACGCCATATAGAGTAGCTTTACAGAAATATTATGTAATTGTTTTAGTGAAAAACAATTTATAAATCATCTACTATACATAAAGACATAAAAATGACCAAAAGTATTAATAATTTCACATATTATCACAACAATTTCTTTGGTTTTCTTACGTCATTTCACGCCATTTAGTCTCTACTAACTTATACTGCGCTTAGACAGCATGTCAAAACAAAAATGTCAAGTGACATAGTATAAAGAGCGACAAAGTCCGTGTAGGGATGAGGACGAGGTTAATAAATGAGTCTCATGCACAGGAAATCGCTGTTTGTGTCCTGCTTCAAACTAAAAGCCACCGTTGAATCATTTTTATTTACCTATGCAAGTTCTGGTATGTATTTTACTTCAGAAACTGACTTAGCTAACATACTTACGCCTGCCGAAGATAATTACATGTATTTTGTATCACTTTATGTGGTTGTAAAATTCTGCAAAAGAGGTCAGTTTTGCACACATATAAAACAGGATGTCAGATGGATAGACAAAAAAATCTAAATGTGATGCTCTGGAAATCAAATGTGCAACTGAAGAAAAGTTCTGAAACTGAAGAACGGAAGTTTAAACATCAAAGATGAAACATGAAAGCTGCTGCATGAAAGAAAACAGAGACTAAAGCAAACCCACTGATGCATGAATGATCTGAGAAAGGAAAGGAACCTCACACACTTACTGCTCAGCTATCTTAGAAACCAGACAAGCCAAACCTACAGTGTGACAACGCAGAAACTCAGCAAGGCAGAACATTTACATGTCACACCCAAAATACTTCTAAATAAAGGCTGTTGTTAATGTGGTCACTGAACTGAGCAGTTAGTTTGAATAGGAATATTTTGGTTCCGCCAACACGTGATTTTAACAGTTAGTCACATTGTAGCATGTTAGCAAAATAACATCAAGATGTTATCATGATTAAAGTTAGCATGTTAACATGCTAGTAGGGCTGACCCCGAATAGCCGAAGATTCAATGATTCAATAGGAGGAGCCTGATTCGACTCCCAATCTCACAGTTAAATCTTCGCAGAGCCGTTATGAAACAAGGATCATACAATATTGGCTATATTGGGGTGCTCAACGTCTGATTTTACATAGAACTATTTTTTTCTCCCAAGAAGTTAATATACAGCTTATTATGATCTAAATATCAACATATAATGCTATAAATAAACATGTGAAAAGAAAGCAGGTGTGAATAAATCCAAATTTGTAATGCTAACCCTTAAGGTAACCCTGCGCATGTGTGGTAGAAGAGGAAGAGAGATGGAGCCTCAGCAGCACTGGTGATGTGAACTTGTATGTGAACTTTGCGGGACGTTTGAATCATTTATCACCATTGATGAACCACACAAAGAATATTATATCGTTTTTCAACAGTACTTGGAACCGAAACGTGGCCATACAGCCAGTGACCTTATTTCCAGGTTCCGTTTGGTTCTAACATGAAGCTGTTTAATTACATAGAAAAAGAGGCAGGAACGTTTCTTGCTCTAGCAAAAACACTGGCGTAATTGTAGGCTGCAGGAGAAAAAAAACCACTGGTCTTATAATTCACAGCACAGGCTGTTATGTAATCATCATCATCCGGCCACCGACCCCAAGTTCAGCCCTGAAAACACAGTAACACCCAAGAAGAATGTCAGTGAAAACAATTAGCAAGCAAAGTCCTTCCAGTACAACTCAAATAATAAGCAGGTGGAGCCCAGAACCCAGGACAGAGAAAGAGAATGCTGATGCATTTTATAGCTCCAAAAGACAAACAAACATTACATCTAACATAAATGGGCAACAATAGAAATATGCCACGTGAGCAGACACAGGAAATGTAAGAAGTTATCATGAACTAATCTAAATCATTCACAGACTTTCAAAAATATGTAGAATACGTGACACTCCCATGAAGCAGCTGTGGTACTGGGTTTTTGTTGTTGCATAAAAATCAACTTGACAGAGGCGGAATGATTCTAATACAGATAAAGTATTTACTTTGGAGCATTTCATTCAATCAAATCCTGTTACCAGTTTATCAAGCTACATGTAAACAATGGACATTTCTGAGCTCTGAAACTCTGTTTTTGTCCAAAAAAAACAAGACTATTAAGTAGGCTATTGCTCAAGTGTCTAAAATTGTATACCACTGCTGCTACCTCAAATGCCTGTGAGGTGTGGACTCGAGTTTCACATCGATGCTCCAACAATAGTAGCAGCCTTCCTCCTGATTCGGCAGCCAACTCCCTGTAGCCAAAGTGGAGTTCACATTCCAAACACTGGACTAGGGAGTTATGTAAGGGTTTCCTTTTGCAAACCTACAACTACTACTACCACCATCATCATACCACCGACTATGCAGGGATTGTAATTTAGGGTATTAATCATCTTCCTTCTAACCTCAACTTGTGTTTTTTAGAAGATCATGGAAAAACTTTTGGTATTTTGTTGACTTAGGCAAACTGACTTAGATCAAAACTGACTTGCTTCAATTTCTGTGATACGCAAACAGTCTTTTCATTTTGAAGACGATGCAAAAACGTTACAGGCCTAATTACGTACATGCACCTGTGCTCAAGGGTCATGTGGCACAGGAAAAGGCCTGACAACAACAAATATAAACATAAGTAAACGGACATGAGGCCTAAATACAGAAACTGCAATAGAGACAAAAACAGCAGCCTACATTTTGAAGCCCACGTCCTCAGGCAGAGTGCAGTCTGTTACAGAAGAGGATACAGTGTCCCAAAAGCATCATCCCACACAGACAACTGTATAGTTCAACAAGGCCACTGTGCTAAAGCATTTTTGGTTCTAAATAGCTTATGAACATCCCAGCACCAAAGCAACCATCATAACCAAATGCTCTGCCTGTTTTTGGAATTTGTGGGAGTCTACACGGATTTCATTTTCACAAACAGTCCCATTCCAGAGCTGCAGAGCGTAACTGTTTATCTGCTTCCCCATCTTGCAAAAACAGGAAATCAAAACACTCCACCCCATCCCAGCATGACACCATCTCCACCATCT